GTCTAAAATATACAGGCAAACTTTTTATTAAAAATATGAGAAATTAATTAACAGATTATGACCACGATGCAGATTTAAAACCCAAGGCATAATGAGTGCCGTTGACCAGTTCATCCAAACAGTTCAGAGAAGAGAACATCCATATAGATCCTTCTTGTGTTGCAGAATACAAAGGAGCAGAAAATTTTGCCTCAGTAACTGCCAGGTCATTCTAATTAAAGTACCTGTACATTGTAATATAATTCCTCCATTAAGGTAATAACCGATCAGGTGGTCCAGAGTCTGTGTCATTCAGTCAAGAAAGTCACTCCCTTAACCTAGACTGTGCTGGAAATTCATTGACAAATTTTGTTCTTTGTTTCTCCATTTGTCTTCAGAATTCATGCAGACCACTTGACTTCGTTAGCATTTTCTTTTGTAGGCATATATTAATGTATTTGGTTAAGCTTCGGCTTCCATTTGCATCAATCCTATTGTAATTATTGCCTCCTGAGGCATCGTTTTGCTTCCCTTGCATGAGTTTCCAAAACCCTACTTTCTACTTTGTAAGGAGAGTATCCATTTTCTTTAAAGCAGTGGTTTTCAAACTTGCCTGCATATCAGAATTATTTGGGGAGAAGGATAAAAATACAGATTACTGAGCTTCACCTGGGATTCTGTAAATTTGGGTTGCATTTGAGATTACTTTGAACAATTTACCGATGATTTTTGCTTCTCCTCCACTTCAGTTTTAGGAAGGACTGTTTCAAGGCAGCTTTTCAAACTTTAATGACCATATAAATCACCTGAAGATTGTGAGAAACTGCAGATCCTAATTTAGCAGCCCTGGGTTCAGGCCTGAGATTCTGAAGTTCTCTCAAACGTGATAATATCAATCCCTTGTTGAGCAGAAAGGTTTTTTTTTTGTTTGTTTGTTTTTGTTTTTCCAATATCTTCATGGCATTCAATGAGTAGCAGAGTTTGAAGGTAACTTCTGGAATTTCATCGAATGTGTATGAATTTTTACTCATCTGGATCTTAGGGGAAATAACCCATCCAGTTATAGGGAGGGAGGACCTTTAATAACGAAGCCAAATGTGTAGGTTGTCTCCCTCTCCCTAGTGTGCAGAGGTATCCCTTGCACAAACTCAAAACTTCTTAGACCAAAAGCATTATAGCTCTAGTTTGCCTTAAAGGAAGTTGTATTGTCTATAGAGCATGTGGGTCATTTTCTGCCAAAAAAAATATTCAAATGTTTTCACTCTGAAGCTTTGTTCATTGTATCTGGTGGAATTCCGGTTATCAGTGAGTAGACACCTAGCTGTGCTTCTAATGTGAACTGTCTACTAGCCCCGTGGTCTCTATTTTGGATTTGAACTTACTTCGACCCCACACCTGATGCCTTTCCATTTAGTCATATTGTGATTCAACATTTTTGTTTCCACATTTTTTATTTCCTATGTTATTATTCCTTAGTTCCCATCTGTAAGATCATAAAGTCCTTTGACCCAAACACAGTTGATATTTCATACATATGTTAAAAACTGAGCTGTGAGACCAGACATGGTGACTCACACCTGAAATCTCAGCACTTTGGGAGACCAAGACAGAAGGATCAGTTCAAGCCAGGAGTTTGAGATCAGCCTGGGCAACAAAGTGGGACCATGTCTCTAAAAAAGAGAATTAGCTGGGCACAGGGGAGTAGTCCCTGTTACTCTGGAGGCTGAGGCAGGAAGATCACTTGAGCCCGGGAATTCCAGGCTGCAGTGAGCTCCGATAGTGTCACTGCATTCCAGCCTGGGTGCAGAGTGAGACCCTGTCTCCAAAAAAAAAAAAAAAAAAAAGAAAAAATCCAAGGGTATAATGAGGGAACTTCCAGGAAAATGCTCTTATTTTCTGCTTTTAGAAACCAAAATAATGTTTCATTGTGGGCTGCTACCATTATATGCAGGAAGTTTTAGAATGAAAAACATTCTGAACTGATCCTTGCTAACTTCATTTCAGAAAGTGGTAAAATAGCTGTGGAGTATAGACCCAGTGAAGAGATTGTAGATGTCAGATGGGAAGAAGAACTACACGGTTTAATTCAAGTATGTGGAGATAAAAACTCAAAGGTAACAGGGCCGGGCGCAGTGGCTGAAACGTAATGCCAGTGCTTTGGGAGGCCAAGGCGGGCGGATCACCTGAGGTTGGGAGCTCAAGACCAGCCTGACCAACATGGGGAAACGGTGGTGCATGCATCCTACTACTTGGGAGGCTGAGGCAGGAGAATTGGTTGAACCTGGGAGGTGGAGGTTGTGGTGAGCCAAGATCGCTCCATTGCACTCCAGCCTGGGAAAAAAGAGCGAAACTCCCATCTCAGAAAAACAAAAAACCCTCAAGGGTCAGATAACATATGCAATATAACCATAATTCAAAATAAGCAGCAGAATTTGGAGGATAATTTGCTTCATTCTCAGGAAAATGTGAAACTCCGAAACTGCTTTTTGAGTGCAGGGTATTTCTGGGGCTTTTCCTAAAGTCTTGACCCTTGGCTCTGACCCCTTATTTGGAGTTTGGAGACAGAACTGAGGACTGTATTACTACAGCTGTGGACACAGGAGAGGGGTTAGTCTCCCCCGGCCCCAGGAGTAAGGGATGCTGGGCTGCTTGAACACAGGCCTTTTTAGAACTCCCTTCAAACAGGATCCCAGAGATGTGGGGAGATGTAAGTGGCCTTAAGACTGATTGTGCTACAGCTTTCGAAAACTATAATGCCTTTCAAATATGGCTTATTACTTGGATCTCAATATCTCCCATATACCTTGGGTGGACTATTTTGCTGAAGATCTTTCTGTCAATCATTTACAATCATGTGCTGCAAAATGAAGTTTTGGTCAACAGTAGACCACATATATGATGGTGGTTCCATAGGAGTATAATGGAGCTATCCCTATACAGGCATACCATTTTTATCTTTTTGTTGTTGTTGTTGTTTTTGTTGTTGTTATTGAGATGGAGTCTCACTCTGTTGCCCAGGCTGGAGTGCGATGGTGTGATCTCAGCTCACTGTAACTTCTACCTCCTGGGTTCAAGTGATTCTCTTACCTCAGCCTCCCGAGTAGCGGGATGCATTATAGGCATGCGCCACCATACTCAGCTAATTTTTATATTTTTAGTAGAGACTGGTTTTTGCCATGTTGGCCAGGCTGGTCTCGAACTCCTGACCTCAGGTGATCCACCCACCTCCGCATCCCAAAGTGCTGGGATTACAGGCATGAGCCACTGTGCCTGGGCCCCATTTTTATCTTTTATACAGTATTTTAACTATACCTTTTCCATGTTTACATACACAAATACCTGCCATTCTGTGACAGTTGCCTTTAATATTCAGTACAGTAACATATAGTACAGGTTTGTAGCCTAGGAGTCATAGACCATACCATATAGCCTAGGTGTGCTGTAGGCTATACCACCTAGGTTTGTGTAAGTATACGCTATGATGTTAGCACAATGGTGAAATCAGCTAATGACACACTTCTCAAGCTCCTCACATGGCAAGCAACGCATGACTGCATATGAAAGCTCTTAAATAGGGATTAAGTTTCTAAATTAATCTCAAAAGAAAACAGTTATTATTTACTATTTATGGAATTTTTTTAAAAAAAAGGAGCAAAAGTTTCATTTCAGTGGGAACTTATTTTGGGGCTAGAGTATTTTATTTAACTTTCACCCCAAAGTTGCAATGTGTTTTGAAGTTCTTCCCTGTAAAATAATTATTTTAACTCAATTTAAATAAAACCCATCCAGTAAACTTCAAGCTTTAAGAAGTCTAGGTTCCTGTGAAATGTGAGAGGAAGTCAGCACTGATTTCAGAAATCTGATTATAACAATAGATCCATCCCTAAATGAGGTGAATCTTGGAATCCCTTCAGTTTTATTTTATTTTATTTTATTGAGATGGAGTTTCTCTCTTATTGCCCAGGCTGAAGTGCAATGTTGCAATCTAGGCTCACTGCAACCTCTGCCTCCCAGGTTCAAGTGATTCTCCTGCTTCAGCCTCCCGAGTAGCTGGGATTACAGGCATGCACCACCACGCCTGGCTATTTAAGTAGAGACGGGATTTCAGCATGTTGATCAGGCTGGTCTGGAACTTATGACCTCAGTGATCTGCCCACCTCGGCCTCCCAAAGTTCTGGCATTATGGGTGTGAGCCACTGTGCACAGCCCCCCCTTCAATTTTAAAACCATCACTATGCACCCTGTGCCTCTGCTAGGCACTGGAATAAGATGAAGCACCTTCTTGGAGTTTACATGCTGATAATTGTGCCAGACAGTAATAGGTAAGAATGGCTGTGGGGGAAGTCAGCTGTGTTACAATTACAGTGGCATTTCAGGAAATTATTTAACATGTTGACTTTAACAGCCTAAGCCTCTTCTCCATGTATGCACACAGGGTAGATCTCTGAAGGGTGGCGCTGTAACTTCTAGGGTAATGGCTGTGTTGAGTCAAGGCAGGATGACAGTTCAGCCTCCTCCCTGCTAGTGCAAAGGGCTCTTCACTCGGATTAAAGCCTTCTCTCCCAGACTGAATTGCCCACCCCCAACACCCCTCCTACAGAAAATTTGGAGTCCTCGCTTATTCCCTGGAAGCCCCTACCTAGTAGGGTGGTGAATTCATTATCAAACATGCAACAGTTTAGCGAAAACGGCAACATTTTGGAATAAATGACTGTAATGTGCGTCGTGCCTGCCACCCTAACTGGCGCCCATTTTGCAGCTCAGTTGCTCTCCCTGAAAGGAAGAGTATGCTTGGATTTCACCTTGGAGGAGGAAGAGTTCAGGCTGCCACAACTGGACTAGCACTTCTGAAGATCCCAAGGCGAGGTCCCGTGACCCCACCCCACCACACCACAGCAGGCTGCTGGAGTCCTGGGACCACCTGGGTCTGTGGCCCAAATCCTTCCTCCCTAAGGGGAGGGAAAGGGGTGTTCCAGCCGGGCGGGGTGGGAAGGGGTGTTTGGGCGGGATTGTGACATAAGATTGCCCTGGTGACATGGAGCAGATCTGGACCCAAGCCTAATAAAGGTGGCATAAATAGAGGTGTCATAAAGACAGGGCGGGGCGCATGCTTATATGGGGCATGAGCATCTTAGGGTTGCCAGAATGACTCCCGCTCAGTGCGCAGCACTCGCGTGTGTCATGTTCTGGCTGCGTTTCTGGGGCCCATGGCCCCTCCTCACATGGCAACTATTGTGTCTACTAGTCAAGGAGACTCAGCCTCTGGAGTGGGTCAAGGACCCGCTCCAGCTGACCTCTAACCCCCTGGGGCCGCCTGAGCCCCGGTCTTCCCGCTCCTCCCATCTCCCATGGGAATCTCCCCATGCGCCCACTCCCCCGGCAGACCTGGGGGACTTTGATTACCTGGGGCCCTCTGCTTCCTCGCAGATGTCAGCCCTGCCCCAGGAATCGACTGAAAATTTGGTTCCATTCCTGGACACGGATTCAGCTGAAGAGCTGCCCCTGGGGCCAGAGCAGTTCTCCGCTGCACACCAGGATTTAAATGACAAGCTGACTCCGGAAGAAAGGCTCCCAGAGGTGGTCCCACTGCTGGACGGGGATCAGAATCAGACCCTAGTTCAGCTTCCTCGTCTCAAAAGTAAGGTTCCAACTGCAGATCTAGATCGGGCTGCAGGTCATCAGGCAGATGAAATACTTGTTCCGCTAGACAGTAAGATTTCAAAACCAACCACATTTATTGTTTCGCCCAAGAACCTGAAGAAAGATCTAGCTGAGCGTTGGAGCCTTGCTGAGATTGTTGGAATTCCACACCGATTATCCAAACCTCAGCGTGAGAAACAGACTTTGCAGGATGAATATTCGAGTATGGACACACTGTATCCCGGCAGCCTGCCTCCAGAACTCCGGGTGAACTCAGATGAGCCTCCAGGGCCCCCTGAGCGAGTTGGACTTTCTCAATTCCATCTAGAGCCGGAAACTCAAAATCCAGAGACCCTTGAACACATCCAATCCTCTTTACTCCAGCAAGAAGCCCCAGGGCAGCTTCCACAGCTCCCTGAGGAGGAAGAACCTTCTTCCACCCAGCAGGAGGCCCCAGCTCTGCCTCCAGCATCCTCTATGGAGAGTCTAACTCTACCGAATCGTGAGGTGACAGTTCAGCCTCCAGGTGAGGATCAAGCTCATTATAACTTGCCTAGCATTACAGTTAAACCTGCAGATGTGGAGGTTCCCATGACTCCAGAAGCTGAAAACGAGACAGAATCTTCCGAAGTCCAGCAGGAGTCCCCAGGTCAGCCTCCAGAGGAGGTGGAACCTTCTGCAACCCAACAGGAGCCCCCAACTGAGCCTCCAGGTCCTCCTATGGAGCTTGAACTTTCCCCTAGTGAGCAGGAGCAGCCAGCTCAGCCTTCGGAGTCTTCTGGGGAGGTTGAATCTTCTCCAGCCCAGCAGGAGACCCCAGCTCAGCCTCCAGAAGAGATGGAGCCATCTGCAATCCAAGAGGAGGCCCTAACTGAGCTTCCAGGTCCTCCTATAGAGGCTGAACTTTCCCCCAGTGAGCAGGAGCAGCCAGCTCAGCCTTCTGAGTCTTCTGGGGAGGTGGAGTCTTCTCCAGCCCAGCAGGAGGCCCCAGCTCAGCCCTCAGAACATCATGAAGTCACAGTTTCACCTCCTGGACACCATCAAACTCAGCATTCAGATTTTCCCAATGTCTCTGTTAAGCCTCCAGACACGCAGCTCACCATAGCAACAGAGCCTAGTGCAGAGGTGGGAACTTCTCCAGTCCTCCAGGAGGCTACAGCTCAGCTCTCAGGGCCAGGTAATGATGTAGAACCTCCCACCATCCAGCACGGGGGCCCACCTCTGCCTCCAGAGTCACTGGAAGAGGCTGGACCTTCAGCAGTTCAACAGACTTCAGTTCAATCTCCGGAACCTGTTAATAATGAGAACCCCTCTCCAACCCAGCAGGAGGCTGCAGCTGAGCATCCACAGACCGCTGAGGAGGGTGAGTCTTCTCTAACCCAGCAGGAGGCCCCAGCTCAGACTCCAGAGCTCCCTAATGTAGTTGTAGCTCAACCTCCAGAGCATCATGAGGTAGCAATTTCCCCTCTAAGTCATGATCAAGTTCAGCTTCCAACATTGCACCATGTCACTGTTAATCCTGTGGATCACGTGGTTACCATGACTCCAGATTTCATTAATCAGGTTGCAATGTTAACCCAACAGGGGGCCCCAGCTCAACCCGTAATGTCCCCTGAGCAGTTTCAACATTTGAAAGACCAGCAAGACATTATAACTCAGCAGCTAAATAGACCTGAAAATTATGAACTTCCTCCAGTCCATAAAGAGCCCACAACTCAGCCTCCAACTCAGCTCTCGTCAAACTTTGAAAGTTCACTGAATGATGAAGCAATAGGTTCACCTCTATATATGTCACATCTAGATGTAGATATGGGGCTTACCAGACCTACAGCAGTCACTATGCGGGTACAACCTTCTCCAGTCCAGCAGGACAATCCTCCTGTTCCCACTGAGCAGGCTGACTTTTCTCTAGCCCAGCCTGACCTCCCTTCCCCACTTCTGCATCCTCCTGAAAAGACTGAATCTCCAGTCCAGCAAGAGGCCACAGCTCAGATTCCAGATTCCCCTAAGGAGGCAGAACCTTCTCCAGTCCAGCAAGAGTTCCCAGCTGAGCCACCAAAGCCCCCTAAGGAGGTTGACCCATCTGCAACCCATCAGGAAGCCTCAGGTCCTCCTCTGAAGTCCACTGAAGAGATCAGTCCTCCACTGCAGCAGGAGATACCAGTTCAGCCATCAGAGCCACCTGAGATGGTCGAGCTATCTCCAGTCCTACAGCAGGCCCCAACTCAACTTTTAGAGCGACCTAAAGAGGCAGAATCCTCTCCAGTACAGCAGGAAGTCCCTGCTCAGTCTTCAGACCCCCCTATGGTGATAGAACCCTCTCTGACCCAGCAGATGGCCCCGTCTTTATCTCCAGAGTTCCCTCAGGAGGTGGAACCATCTCTAACTCAGCAGGAGGTTCCAGCTCAGATTCCAGAGCCCCCTGTGGAGGCAGAACCTTCTCTGACCCAGCAGGAGGCCACAGTTCAGGCTCCAGAGCCCCCTAAGGAGGTAGAACCTTCAAGACAGCAAATGGTCCCAGTGCAGCTTCCAGAGCCGTCTAAGGAGGTTGCAGCTCAACCTCTAGCTCATGATGAGGTGACAGGCCCAACACCAGGTCAGGATCAAGCTCAGCATTCAACATTGCCCAGTGTCACAGTTCAGTCTTTGGACCTGGGACTTACCATTGTTCCAGAACCCACTATGGAGGTTGAATATTCTACACCCCTGAAGAAGACTATAGTTCCTGCAAAGCACCTTAAGGTGACACTTCCACATCCAGACCAGGTTCAGACTCAGCATTCACACCTGACTCAAGCCACAGTTCAACCTTTGGACCTAGGGTTTACCATCACTCCAGAATCCACGACAGAGGTTGAACTTTCTCCAACCGTGCAGGAGACCCCAACTCAGCCTCCTAAGAAAGTTGTACCCCAACTTCTAGTATATCAAGAGGTTACAATTCCAACACCAGGTCAGGATGAAGCTCAGCATCCAATGTCATCCAGCGTCACAGTTCAACCTTTGGACCTGAGATTTACCATCACTCCACAACCCACTACGGAGGTTGGACATTCTACACCCCTGAAGAAGACTCTAGTTCCTCCAAAGCACCCTAAGGTGACACTTCCACATCCAGACCAGGTTCAGACTCAGCATTCACACCTGACTCAAGCCACAGTTCAACCTTTGGACCTGGGGCTTACCAGCACTCCAGAGCCCAGTACGGAGGTTGAACCTTCTACAGCCCTGACAACTACAGCTCCTCCTCCAGAACACCCTGAGGTGACACTTCCACCTTCAGACAAGGGTCAGGCTCAGCATTCATACCTGACTCAAGCCACAGTTCAATCTTTGGATCTGGGGTTTATCATCACTCTGGAACCCACTAAAGAGGTTGAACTTTCTACAGCCCTGACGACTACAGCTTCTCCTCCAGAACACCCTGAGGTGACACTTCCACCTTCAGACAAGGGTCAGGCTCAGCATTCACACCTGACTCAAGTCACAGTTCAACCTCTAGCCCTGGAGCTTACCATAACTACAGAACCTACTACAGAGGTTAAACCATCTCCAACCACAGAGGAGACCTCAACTCAGCCTCCAGACCCGGGGCTTGCCGTAACTCCAGAGCCCACTACAGAGACTGGACATTCTACAGCCCTGGAGACGACTACAGCTCCTCGTCCAGACCAGGTTCAGACTCTGCATCGAAAACTGACTGAAGTCAGAGATCCACATACTGAACTAGAACCTACTCAGGACTCACTGGTGCAGCCTGAAAGTCACGCCCAAAATAAGGCTTTAACTGCATCAGAGGAACAGAAGGCCTCCACAACCACCAACATATGTGAACTCTGTACCTGTGGAGATAAGACGCTGTCGTGTATTGATCTCAGCCCAAAGCAGAGGCTCCGCCAAGTGCCTGTGCCAGAGCCCAACACCTACAATGGCACCTTCACCATCTTGTAAGGATCACCTTTCCCCAGTTTTCCTCTGTGTCCTGCCTGACGTGGCAGCCTTTTCCTGGAGGCCTTCCTGGGCTTTCTTTGTCTCCCCAAGCCATCCTGACAACTGACTTTCTGCTTTCACCTTTGCTTGTCAATTCTCCTTTCTCCTCATTCTCCTTCATTCTCCTTTAATGTTAGACCCATTCTCCAGTCTTTTACTTTTACTCCAGTCTTTTGCTCCTACTCGTTTTCTTATCCATTTTTATTTAGCCCCATCACATCATTGCTTAACCGCTGCTCTGCTCCCATTTTTGCTTCACCCTCTTTACAGCAACCTTTCCCCCTCCCCATCTCAGTGATGAGGCTCTAAGTGGTTAAGAGTTGATTCTGGAGCCAGGCTTCCTGGGGTTGAACCCAGGTCTATTTTTAGCTTGGTGACCCAGAGCAAGTTATTCCGCTCTGTGACTCAGTTTCCTCACATTTCAACTGTGAGTTATGCTAGTTCCCATTTCATAGGATTGTTGTGAAATTTAGATGAGTGAATATATGAAACACTTCATCAGTGCCTAGCATATATAGGAGCGTTGGCTGTTAACATGATTACTCAGTCCTTTAGTTATGTCCACAACTCATCGTTGTCCCTGACTTTCTATATGTAGCACTCATTTTGTGTCAAACCCAGGGCCAAATATGCTACTGTCTCCAGAACATGAAAATGATAGGAGGGAAGAAAGATAATAGGCATAAAAAGGGAGGTTTATATAATTAATTACTAAAAGATAATGCATACAATAAGTGCTAGAATTTACCAGAATCTGTGATCCTTGAGGTGTGGAGATCAAGGAAAGCTACATGGATAAGCCAAAACTTTACTTGGGTCTTAAAGAGTAGCTATAATTTGTTAAATAGAAAAAAAATGGGAGTACAGTCTAGGCAAAGGCATTGCTACAGGTATGGTTGGAATTTAGTAGACCAATCTGGCTGCAAAGAATTAGGTGAGGGAGCAGTGAAGATATGATTATGTAAAACCTTGACTATCAGCTATAGGAGTTTGAAAGTTACACAGTGAGATATGGAAAGCCATTGAAAGTTTCCAAGCAAGAGAGATTAAATGATCAAAACAGGAGGATTATTTTATTTTATTTTGTTTTTTGCTTTATGTTCAACTGTAGACATGCAAAGGATTATTTTAGAATCCATATGTAATGTGTCCAGAAGGAAAAGCTTAATTCAGGGAGACAGAATAGAAAAGTCTCGCAAAACGTAGGAGTAAAGTGTGAAGGGACCAAATCAGGTCGGTTGTAATAAGAGTGGAAAGAAAAAGCCTAGGATGTTTCAACAGAGGGCAAAGCTTTGGTGCTACCTGGCATAGGGTTTCTTTCTACTTATTTATTGATAGTGATAAGCTTTTGCCCATTTTTTTCTGTTGAATTATTTACCATTTTTGTATTGATTTGTAGGAGTTTGTTTAGGCACATAAGTGCTTTTGGATAAAATACTTACATTCAAAGTAATTAACTGGCACTGTCTGTCCAAGAGATGTGATAGATAGGAAGTTAAGCTTCCAGGAGATGCCTTATCATTTGTGCCAGTGGCTCGGCATTGTTTCTTGATGAATTGTGCAAACTGGGAAGCTGATAGCTCTGGAAATGAGAAAGCAGGTGTTATTTTCTGTTTCTGAATATCCCCAACAAGATTGCCATGATTCCTTTATTTATCCTCATCATTCTTTTCCTACCTATTCAAGAATGTAAACTGTGTTTCTTCACAGAAATTTCCAAGGAAACTATATTTCATACATTGATGGAAATGTATGGAAAGCATACAGTTGGACCGAGAAACTGTGAGTATATTCTCTCCAAATATGACAAAAAACTAACTGCATTGTAAGATCCTTCTCGGTCCAGAATTTTGAGGTCGGTGCCTCTGAGAAAAGATATTTCCCCTCCATACCCCAAATCAACCTCTGTGGATTGCAATCCTTTGGTTATTTTAAAATTAAATTTGGTAGGCTCTCTAAAATAAGAGGCAATTTAAATTTATTTTTTATTATACAGATAGTACATGGTTATATTCTTTTTTTTCCTCTTTTTTTTTTTCAGAGACAGGGTCTTCTTACTTTGTCCCCCAGGCTGGAGTGCAGTGGCACAATCACATCTCACTGCAGCCTTCAACTCCCAGGTGCAAGTGATCCTCCCACCTCAGCCTCCCAGGTAGCTGGGACCACAGGTGCATGCCACCACGCCCACCTAATTTTGTATTTTTTGTAGAGACAGGGTCTTCCTGTGCTGCTTAGGCTAGTCTTGAGCTCCTGGGCTCAAGTGATCCTCCCACCTTGGCCTCCTTAAGTGCTTATATTATAGGCATGAGCCACCACCCCCAGCCCGTGATTCTATTTTTAATGTATAAAAATGCAATAACAGGTATAACAGAAACCCTCCTTGTGCCCTACTCCCTCATCTCTGAGGTAATGCTACTCTGTATTTAGTATACATGCTTCCAGACTTTTCCCCATTTGCCTACATTCATATTTACATAAAGCAAAATAGATTTGCATGTGGTTTTTAAAATCTTTTTTGCTCTTTTTTTTTTTTTTTTTGAGACAGAGTCTCGCTCTGTCGCCCAGGCTGGAGTGCAGTGGCGCGATCTCGGCTCACTGCAAGCTCCGCCTCCCGGGTTCACGCCATTCTTCTGCCTCAGCCTCCCGAGTAGCTGGGACTACAGGCGCCCACAACCGCGCCCGGCTAATTTTTTGTATTTTTAGTAGAGACGGGGTTTCACCGTGGTCTCGATCTCCTGACCTTGTGATCCGCCCGCCTCGGCCTCCCAAAGTGCTGGGATTACAGGCGTGAGCCACCGCGCCCGGCCTTTAAAATCTTTTTTGTTTACATAAATGGTAACATTTTGCAACTTGATTCTTTCACTTCATGGTATCACTTACATGATATCATATGATAAGTGTATCACTTATATGATATGATATTCTTTCACTTCATGATTTCTTTCCTTCCCAGTACTCAGACGGTCACCCCATTCATTTAAACTCCTGCATAATCCATAGTCTGGATGCATCGTAGTTTATTTAATAATTCCCCCATTGATGAATGTTTAGATTATGCTTAGTTTTCTTGTTACATACATTGCTGCAATGAAATTCCTGTACATGCTTCTTTGTGAACATGGGCAAGTATTCCTGTAGAATAGGTATCTAGAGGCCGGGCGCGGTGGCTCAAGCCTGTAATCCCAGCACTTTGGGAGGCCGAGACGGGCGGATCACGAGGTCAGGAGATCAAGAACATCCTGGCTAACACCGTGAAACCCCGTCTCTACTAAAAATACAAAAAACTAGCTGGGCGAGGTGGCGGGCGCCTGTAGTCCCAGCTACTCCGGAGGCTGAGGCAGGAGAATGGCCTAAACCTGGGAGGCGGAGCTTGCAGTGAGCTGAGATCCGGCCACTGCACTCCAGCCGGGGCTACAGAGCGAGACTCCGTCTCAAAAAAAAAAAAAAAAAAAAAAAGAATAGGTATCTAGAAATGGAATTTTTGGGGTGAAGACTATGTAGATACAAAATTTTAATTGCCCTCAAAAATGTTGTGCCAACTTATTGTCAGCAGAATATGACAGCATTCATTTCCCCCACACCTTTCACCGCTGGGTATTCTCCAACTTTTTGTTGAAGTTATGCATGAATAAAAGGGATTCCATCCAAATTTGAATTTTTCTGATTACTCATACATTTAATTAAATATTATATGTTTATTGAACATTTGTGTTTCTTCTCTGAGTTTTCTGTCCTTTGTTCATTTTCCTGTTGAATTGTTTTATCATTTTCTTACTGATTTATAGAAGGAATTGGTTTAGACATATAAATGATTTTGGAAAAAATGCTTACATTCGAAGTAACATTTTTCACAACAGTTTGTGTGTGACATCATTAGTTCAACGTAGATAGCCAAGTCATGTATGAGTTCTAAATTAAAAATAAAACACATGCTAGCTGCGGTGGCTCACGCCTGTAATCCCAGCACCTTGGGAGGTCGAGGCAGGTGGATCGCCTGAGGTCAGGAGTTTGAGACCAGCCTGGCCAATGTGACGAAACACCGTCTCTACTAAAAATACAAAAATTACCCAGGCCTGGTGGTGGGTGCCTATAATCCCATCTACTTAGGAAGCTGAGGCAGAATTGCTTTATTTATTTTTTGAGATGGAATTCTGTTCTTGTCGCCTGGGCTGGAGTGCAATGGCGCAATCTTGGCTCACTGCACGTTCCACCTCCCGGGTTCAAGGGATTCTCCTGCCGCCGCCTCCTGGGTGGCTGGAATTACAGGTGCCCGCCTCCACGCCCAGCTAATTTTTATATTTTTAGTAGAGACAAGGTTTCACCATCTTGGCCAGGCTGGTCTCAAACTCATGACCTCAGGTGATTCACCTGTCTTGGCTTTCCAGAATGCTGGGATTACAGGCGTGAGCCACCACGCCAGACCAGAAGTACATTTTAAAAGCAAGAAAATTATTGCAAAAGTCAGGATAGTGGTTACCTATTAGGGTTAGTGAGAGGGATATGATTGGAAAGGGGCACTCTGGGGCTTCTGGGATGCTAGCAATGATCTTTGGTAACAATGTTTACATGGGTATCTGCTTTATAATTATTAAACTGAATATTTGGCCAGGTGAGGTGGGTCATGTCTGCAATCGCAACACTTTGGGAGGCAGAGACAGGAGGATCACTTGAGCCAGGAGTTTGAGACCAGTCTGGGAACAGAGTGAGACCCTGTCTCAGAAATTAAATTAAATTAAATATAAAGAACATTGATGTCCTGTGCACTTTATGCACATTGTAGTTCTCAAATTTTTTTGATGGGGAAAAAGTCTGAATAGCTTCACTTGCAGCCCCGACATGGTTCCATGTGGGGCTTTCATAATAAGGTTTAGGGAAAGAGGAGGAAATGGAGGTTCTGCTGATCTTGGTGCCATCCAGAGGTGGATTCTGAAAGGGATTTTGTGATCTAGAGAGGAGGCATGAAATATACAATTTGGTGGGAAGAGTGGGTAGCAGTGTGCTTGTGTGTATGTGCTTGCATATGTGTGTGTGTGTGTGTGTGTGTGTCTGTGTCTGTGATGGTGGAGAGAGATGGACACAAAAGGGAAAATGTAAGGAAAGGTTTGAATGAAAGCAGAGCAGATACCAGCATCTTGAAATGACCATGACCCAGCTTTCCCCCACATGCAGGACATGGTCCTGTGCGGCAAATAGTTGTACTTTGCATTTTAATCTAGAAATAACTTTTTCATTTTCCAGAATTCTGAATGAAAATTATTTGACTGAATTACATAAAGATTCATTTGAAGACCTGCTATCCCTCCAGTATTTGTAAGTTAGTTAATCACATTTATGAGTTTTTAGTCGTATTATCTGTAAAATGAATAAGGGGTTCAAATTAGATAATCTCTAAGATTTCTTCCAGCAATAAAATTCTGCAATTCTGTAAGTTTGTATAGGGTCTCAGCCCACCTCTAGTATTAGCTACCTCCTATGCATTTTCAGTTTTTAAATTATATAGACAAAATATAGCCAGAAAAAAATTTCACATGGTAATAAGATCTGAGCAGTGACTGACACCCGTATGAACCTTGTTTTATAAGTGTTCACACACCATCTTCTTCTATTCAATCTGCAGTCAGTAGATCAAATCTAATCTAAAGTCTATTTTTTAATAACCCATTAAGTTAAGAATGATTTTTGCATTTTTAAAGGACTGAAAGAAAAAAGAAAGAGAAATATGCAAGAGACATCATATGTGGCCCACAAAGCCTAAAATATTTACTGTCTGTCCTTCACAAAGATTTGAAAAAGTTGGTTTAGTAGGATGAAAGGAATTAAAGTTAACTTCAGATTGTTGCCTAAAGGAGAAGAAAATATAGACCACCTACATTCATTGGAACATCATTAATCCAGAATTTTTGGTAACTTAATTGGAATTAAATTAACATTTAAATATTTAAAATCAGCTGAATTATATAAATAATATTATCAAGAATATTGAGCTACCAAGAGAATAGACTGGTATTAAGGATTTCAGTTCAGGTTTTTTTTTTTTTTTTTTGGAGACGGAGTCTTGCTCTGTCGCCCAGGCTGGAGTGCAGTGGCCGGATCTCAGCTCACTGCAAGCTCCGCCTCCCGGGTTTACGCCATTCTCCTGCCTCAGCCTCCTGAGTAGCTGGGACTACAGGCGCCCGCCACCTCGCCCGGCTAGTTTTTTTGTATTTTTTTTAGTAGAGACGGGGTTTCACGGTGTTAGCCAGGATGGTCTCGATCTCCTGACCTCGTGATCCGCCCGTCTCGGCCTCCCAAAGTGCTGGGATTACAGGCTTGAGCCACCGCGCCCGGCCCAGGAATTGTTATATTAAAACAGATGTTTAAAATCATGGTAAAGTGGTAGAGCTAGAAATGTTTACATGAAGTAAGCATGTCAGAAATGCCCCTGACTCTTCACTAATTACGAAATAACTATCTCCCCAGCCCTGTTACTAAGGGATACCTGCATAGTATTTCTGTCTGTTTAGAGACAAGAAGATACTATGTTCATTGCTATGAAAGCTTGATTCTTATCCTTTGTCCATAGAGGTGTGTATGTCATTAATCCTTATTAAGTTCATCAGTGATGCTCTTTTGAAAACATATTCTTTCAAATGTAGGAGGCTTAAGGAAAGTGGGTGTAAAGACCCTCAAGTGGATGCCAAAGTGCTACAGAGACCATGAAGTAATAAAACTACGTTTCCTTTAAAATAGTCATTTTCCTTCTACTCACTCCCCTAGCCATTCATTCATTCATTCATTTATTATTATTATTATTATTATTATTATTATTATTTTATTTTATTTTTTTTTGAGATGGAGTCTCACTCTGTCATCCAGCCTGGAGTGCAGTGGCGCAATTCGGCTCACTGCAAGCTCCACTTTCCGGGTTCACGCTATTCTCCTGCCTCGGCTTCCCAAGTAGCTGGTACTACAGGCGCATGCCGCCTCGCCTGGCTAATTTTTTGTAGTTTTAGTACACTTGGGGTTTAGTACATTTGGGTTTCACTGTGTTAGCCAGGATGGTCTCCATCTCCTGACCTTATGATCCGCCCACCTCAGCCTCCCAAAGTGCTGGGATTACAGGCGTGAGCCACCGTGCTGGCCAGCTATTCATTTATTTTACAAATATTTGAATTTACTTTATTTCCATGTGTCAGTTTTAAACATGGTGTGCAATGCAGATGAGCAAAACCTAGTCCATGCTTTCAAGGAGCTCATGCTCAGAAAAAATGGGATGAAAAATAACTACATTAAGAAGAAATGGATGTGGGCACTAGGAGGGATAAATTGTTTCTGAAGCATAGAAGAGGGGAAAATGACTTCAGTTTGGACCAAGGAAGATGTTACTAGAACAATGCCATTTGAATTGGACTTTGAAGGGCCATCGTGTAATATCAGACAGACATTTTGGGGAATATATTCTAAGCTTGCAAAAGGAAAATGGGAGAAGGGCAAAGCGCAGGAAAGTGTTCGAGGAATGCCATGAGTACCTGTAGAGTACAAGGAGGGAGAGTAGGAAATTGGAGCCAGATCTTCTAGGGCTTTGAATGCCCAGCTGAGGAGCCATCATGGGGAACCATGTTACCGCAGCAGTGCTATAGATAGATCTGCATCACAATCACTGAGTCGGCGCTTTAGAACTCAGTTCCGGACTCCGCCCTCGTGGTTACTGATTCAGTTGGTCTAGAGTGGGACCAAGAATTTGCATCTTCAATAATTTCCCAGGAAATGCTAGTCTTTGCAAACCACTTGTGAAGAGTTTATCTGATGACTGTGTGCAGGATAGTTTAGGAAGGGAGAGACTAGAGATGGAGACATCAGCCAGACAGCATTATTCCATCCAGGTAAAGAGGGAGGGAGGCCGGGCGCGGTGGCTCACGCCTGTAATCCCAGCACTTTGGGAGGCCAAGGCGGGTGGATCACGAAGTCAGGAGATCGAGACCATCGTGGCTAACACAGTGAAACCCCGTCTGTACTAAAAATGCAAAAAATTAGCCGGATGTGGCGGTGGGCGCCTGTAGTCCCAGCTACTTGGGAGGCTGAGGCAGGAGAATGGCGTGAACCTGGGAGGCAGAGCTTGCAGTGAGCCGAGATCGCGCCACTGCACTCCAGCCTGGGCGACTGAGTGAGACTCCGTCTGGAAAAAAAAAAAAAAAAAAAAAAAAGAGGGAGGGACAGGCCCCATCACTGTATAACTGACAAAATTGCTTTCATGAATTATTAAAGCAATATAAAACTGGGAGGCTGAGGCAGGAGAATGGCGTGAACCCGGGAGGCGGAGCTTGCAGTGAGCTGAGATCCGGCCACTGCACTCCAGCCTGGGCGACAGAGCGAGACTCCGTCTCAAAAAAAAAAAAAAAAAAAAAAAAGCAATATAAAACCAAAAATGAATTTCTGTTAATATGATAGAAATTAATATGATTTGAATTAGTTCAAAGTTATGTATTAAGTAAAGGGGTAACTTCCTTTCAAATGATGTGAAAGGATGTCTTTTATTTCTTCTGATACTGAACTGGCTTAGGAAAACAGACCTAAACTAGGAAGGTGTATAAATGTGAGGCTATTCATTTTAATATTAGAAACTGTATATAGAGATAAAAACTTTGAGCTTATAGTCTAGGATTTGATGAGATGACAAAAGGGCATCTAATCAAGTCTACTGCTCTCAGGAAAAATTCATTCCAAAGTCTATTAAGTTGTATATTTTATTTATTAAAACTATGAAGGTGAGACTCTAGGAGAGGTATGGGCAGGGTTAGGGGCTCTGGAAAGTTCAAATACAAGTCCAGACGTTTAGAGTTGAGATGAAAAATGTGTATTCAATGTTATTCTAAACTCTTGCTGTTATTCATACTAATCTACATCTAATAACTTACCAAGGCAATATTTTCCTTTTATTTTTCCTAGAGATTTATCCTGCAATAAAATACAGTCTATTGAAAGACGTACATTTGAACCACTACCATTTTTGCAGTTTATGTAAGTTACAAATGTAACTTTATTACATTTGGAATTTTTATAAAACTTAATTATAAACCTCTTTACTATTCATTTTGAAATATGATTAAAATTTGACCAGTAGAAAGGTACTAAAATTATAGCGCAAATCCTTTTTGTCTCTAGCAAGGATTCTTGTGAGAATTATTACACAGATCTTAGTGAATCATCAGAGAGCAGTGGTTCTCAGCTGATGTGATTTTGTACTCAGGTGACATTTGGTAATGTCCAGAGACAGTTTTGGTTGACAAAACTGTGGGTGTGCTCCTGGCATCTGGTGGGCAGAGGTCAGAGATGCTGCTAAACATCCTCCAAAGTATAAGACTAAACATCCTCCAAAGTATAACACAGACCCCCATGGGAAAGTTATAGAGTCCAAAATGTTGATGGTACTGAAGTTGTGAAATCCTGTTCTAGAGAACTAAAGATCACTTCACACAGGTATTTACTGAGCATTCACTGTTTTGTAGCTAATGCACCACATGTGCAATGCTAAAGTATAAATCATAAGCCAGTATCTTCCACAGTGAGATTTCCTTAGTGCATACAGGAAGGATTGAGGTTATGTTCCATCCTATGTAAATTAGAATCACAGCAAATGATAAATGTTCTGAAATAATTTTTTTTTTCCTTTGGCTTATGCCTTTTTTTGTAGAAATCTTGGTTGCAATTTACTCACAGAACTGAGCTTTGGAACATTTCAGGCCTGGCACGGAATGCAGTTTTTACACAAGTTGTAAGTGAAATAGAAGATGAATACAAGTAACCACCTATATTGTATAAAAACTCATACAATTATTGGTTAGCTGGGTATAAGCCCATTATGAACTCTGAAAAGTGTGTCTTAAGATCCATTTGTTTTTCTCAAATGGGGAAACTAAGGTACAAAGAGGCCTAGAGACTTACATAGTTTATATATGACTTGCTCTGCTTCTCCTAGTTCTGACCTATGGCATGGTCAAGAAAAGGCATCAAAGAAGTGACCCTCAAATTAGCCTTGTTGCTGGGCGGGGTGGCTCAGGCCTGTAATCCCAGAGCTTTGGGAGCCGAGGCGGGCGGATCGCCTGAGGTCAGGAATTCAACACCAGCCTGGCCAACATAGTGAATCCTCATCCCTACTAAAAATACAAAAAAATTAGCTGGGCATAGTGGTGCAGTTTTTTGCTCCCTGGAGGGCTTTGTGTAAGCTTCCTTCCTTGCAGCTAAATGTTGCAGACATTTAAGCAGTTAAAAACTCTGCATATGAGCAGGAATCAAAGTTAAATCCAAAGTGTAGGGCCGGGTGTGGTGGCTTATGCCCTCCACCAGAGAACAGGCTCATTAGGTCCCTCCACCAAGAGTATTTAGGTAGCATCAATACAAATGGCTTAAACTCACCACCTTTACTAAGCACTTTATATACTGTGAGGCCCTCATAAGAATCTGGTGGCCGGGAGCGGTGACTGATTCCTGTAATTCCACCACTTCTGAAGGCTGAGGTGGGTGGATCACTTGAAGGCAAGAGTTCAAGACCAGCCTGACCATCATGGCGAAACCCCGTCTCTACTAAAAATACAAAAATTATCTGGGCATGGTGGCGGCCACATGTAATCCCAGTACTCAGGAGACTGAGGCAGGAGAATCACTTGAACCCAGGAGGTGGAGGTTGCAGTGAGCCAAGGTCATGCCATTGCACCTAAGCCTGGGTGACAGAGCAAGACTCTGGCAGAGATGGGATTTTACCATGTTGGTCAGGCTGGTCTGGAACTCCTGACCTCAGATGATCTGCCCACCTCGGCCTCCCAAAGTGCTGGGATTACAGGCATGAGCCACCAGGCCCAGACAGTAAATGGAAACTTTAACTCAAAAGAAGGAAGGAAGGGAGGACGGGAGGAAGGGAGGGAGGGAGGGGCGGAGGGAGGGAAGGGAAGGAGGGAGGGAAATGAAGAAAGAGAAAGACAGAAAAAGAGAGAGAGAAAGAAAGAAAGAAAAGAAAAGTTTTTAAAACCGTAAGGTTAAAGTAAACCCTTTTTCTTCATACAGATTAAGCACATGAGTTCAGATTACAGATTTGCTTCTTAATAGCTTAGTGACCTAGGACAAGTTGTGTAACCTCTCTGTGCCTCAGTTTCCTCATTTATAAAATAGGGCAATAATAATATCTACCACCTAAGATTATTGTGAGGATGAAATGTGAAATGCTGATCACAAGTACGTAGCAGCCTAATAGATACTCACTGTAATAATTACTATTTTTATAATTTCTGCAAAAGTACAGTGATGATTCTTGGGTTAACCTAAAGGGTGATTTTCTTTTATTTCTTCCTGTTTCTTTTCTTTTTCTTGCTCACTTTAAATAATTAAAAAGAAAATAGATTCCCGCGTTTTGCAATAAAAATTCATATCAAAATGAATTTATTCATTTTATTGACATGTAAACAAAATGTCATTTGTTTATTCAATAAACATTTATTAAATCCGTAGTAAATTTCAGACATCATGCCAGGCACAGGGATGACAATGACAATAAGATGCGGTCTCTGCCCACAAGGAGCTGATAGTCCAGGAGACTGACAAGTAGACAGGTGATTACATGCAGTGTAACAAAGGCTGTGATGTCATACAAGAAGACAAGTGGGAGTATGTGATGGGAGTATGGTTTTGACCCGTTCCTTCTCTTAGATTTATCCCTTTTTCTTTGGCTATAAAGCAAAAGAATTGGTCCTATTTTTTTTCCTTAACTGTGCAAATTAAACCATAAATTTGAAAAACTTTATAAAGATAAAAGGCAAGCAGTCAGGTACAGTGGCTCATGCCTGTAATCCTAACACATTGGTAGGCCGAGGAGGGTGGATCACCTGAGGTTAGGAGTTCAAGACCATTCTGTCCAACATGATGAAACCCCGTCTTTACTAAAAATACAAAAATTAGTTGAGTGTGGTGGCGGGCACCTGTAATCCCAGCTACTCAGGAGGCTGAGGCAGGAGAATTGCTTGAACCCAGGAGGTGGAGGTTGCAGTGAGCCGAGATGGAGCCATTGCTGTCCAGCCTGGGCTACAGAGCAATACTTCATCTCAAAAAAAAAACAAAAACAAAAAACAAGAAAAAAAAATAAAGAGCAAGTTGAATTATGGACGAGCAACTTGAATTATGGAGGACACTAGAAATAGTATTTCCTACAGAGTCAGGGCTTCCTACCAACATAGTCACTTCTAGGGTTTTTGACCTGAAAAGTTCTGTGGCATATTTTTTCTTTGCTATCCACTTTTTGTGTGTGTGTGTGTGTGTGTGTTTTTTTTCTATTTCTTCACCTCTTTCTCTCCTCTACTTTATCTTCTAGAGACCTAGGTAGTTCCCAAAGGAATAGTGCTTTACGAAGTCTAATGGTGATTTATTAGGTAAAAACAGAATTTTTTTTTTTTACCTATAAGTTCCATACCAAAATATGAATGTAAACTTTTTATGCAGTTTCACACATTGAAAATGTAGGCAATTTTAATTTCATTGCATTTTTCAGAATTCTCAATCGCAATCCTCTGACAGCTGTTGAAGATCCATATCTCTTTGAACTGCCGGCATTAAAATATTTGTAAGTACTATAGTACTCTCGAGTCATGAGATGATTTATGCTTTTTAAATTTGTCATCAAAGATTAAGTATTTTGCATTTAGGCGAAAATGTCGTAATTTAAATTTTAACTGAGTTATTGAAAAAAGTTATTGGCAAAGAAAAGGATTAAGAAAGGATGTGTAATGGTCAAGACAGCCAGCAGGGAAAGAGAACAGTGTTGAAGAGCCCGTATAGATTTGGAACATGTAGACACATGGAGGAATATTACTTAACCAAGAAAGCAAAGAGGAATAGGTGTTCGTTATTCTAAAAATGAAAGTGAATGCAATATGAAAATGAGAAGATAATGGTAAAAAAAAAAAAAGGTGTAAGTTCTACTCTTGAATATCATTAATTTGATGACGCAAATCAACTTAAATTTCTTTAATAAGAGCTCCCTGGAATTCAACAGCAAAGAAACTCTTGAGGTGGCTTGTTGTATAGAGAAGCCAAAATTGAAGTAATCACATGTCCTTGAAATACCTTTTTAAGTACAGAATTTTTTATTGGAGTTCATATCATGAATGTTTCGGCTTTCTTCTTCAGAGACATGGGAACAACGCAAGTTCCACTTGCAACACTTAAGAACATTCTCACGATGACTGTTGAATTGGAAAAACTGTAAGTTATTTTTTTCTTAGATTTATATTTACTTAGTTGGTTTTTTAGGTTTGTTTTATTTTCTTGAGTCAGGTTTATTGAGATATAATTTTCACATAATATTCACCCTTTATAAGTGTATAGTGTATATACATTTGAAAATGTATAGTTACATAAGCACCACCACGTTCCCAGTACAAAGCATTTCTGTCACCTCAAAAAGGCCCCTCCTGTCCCTTTGTAGGCAATCCCCTCCTCCCACCATCAGCCCCCGGTAACTACTAATCTGATTTCTGTTCCTATACTTTTGCCTTTTTCAGAATGTCTTATAAATGAAATCAGGTAGCATGTAGCCTCTTGGGTTTGACTTCTTAAGATTAACCTTGAGAATTTATTCCAGTTACAGAGATTGTTTATATTTCTCTGAAACTGCCCCCAATAAGCCATAACAACAAATTAATCAATTGTCTTGGTTATCTCTTTTGCCCAAATTTACATTTTGAAAAAAATTCAAACATGCCAGAAAGATGAAAGAATAGTACAGAATCCAATTGAAGATCAGGCAGTGCATGTCATGTCTTCGTTTCCTTTCATCTAAAACATTCCTCTACTTTTTTTGATCTTTCATGACATTGGCATTTTTTGAGTCAAAGATAGTTGTCTTGTAAATTGTCCCACAATCTGGATTTGTCTGTTTTTGCATGAGATTCAAGTTAAGTATTTTTGGGAAGAATACTGCATAGGTGATGTATCCTTCCTGCCTCGTGACCGCAGATGGCTCATAATGCTAAGTCTGATCACTTGTTTAAGATGATCTTCCAGATCTCTCCATTGTAGTTATTTTGCTGGGTGTGGTGGCTCACACTTGTAATCCCAGCACTTTGGAAGGCCGAGACAGGCAGATCACTTGAGTCCAGTTTTAGACCAGCCTGAACAACAAGGTGAAACCCTGTCTGTACTAAAAATAAAAAAAATGAATAAAAATAAAAATTAAAAATTAATTAGCTGGGGTGGTGGTGCAAGCCTATAGTCCCATCTGCTTGGGGGGCTGAATTTGGAGGGTCAGTTGAGTCCAGGGGGGTCAAGGCTGCAGTGAGCTATGATTTTGCCACTGTACTTCAGCCTAGGTGACAGAATGAGACCTTGTCTCATAAAAAAATAAAAAATAATTTTTCCCTTTGGTAATTAATAAAAAATGTGTGGGGTGGTACTTTGAGATCAGTGAAGATCCTGTTCTCAGATGTCTTTTCACCCAAATGTGCATCAGTGATAATCCTTGTCTGAATCAATTTTTATTACATTGGTGGTTGCAAGGTGACACTTTTAAAAATTCTGTCATTCCTTCTACATTTATTAGCTAGCATTATTTCATTAAAGTACAACTCCTCCTCGTTTTTAATATCAGTCTTCATGGATTTTTTATATATTATGTTGTAACTTATTGTTGTTACTCTTTTGAATCCTCAAATTGTGCAGATTTGGCCAATGCTATCTCCATTATTTTTTTAACCCCATAATCCATGAGCTATTTTTAATGCCCAGAGTAATTTATAATATTTCTCACTCCCAACAGGAATTGAGAAAGGGCCTCCAGAATTGGGGGCTTATTCAGACTCTTCTTAGAAGTCTACCTTCTTCCTGTGTACGTTCAGCCCAAAGTGAGACTTTGGAGTTGGGAAGAAATACTTCTGAATTAAACTACTGATCAGTGTCACCCAATTCTAATCCCAACCACCTTTATTCTAGGCATACCATACTCACTGCCATGCTTACCCTTTGGTTGGGCACCTCTGTCCTCCTTCCTATTGGCCTTCTAGTTCCTACCCAACTGTTCAGTCCACAGGCCTCAATAACACCTTTTTGCCCAGCCCTGTGGTAGTGTTGGCCTGCCTCCTTTACCTTCTCAAGTAACTGCTTTACCACTAATTTATTGTTTTGTGTTTTCATCTGTAGGATCTTACCTAGCCGTATGGCCTGCTGCCTCTGCCAATTTAAAAACAGCATTGAGGCTGTGTGCAAGACAGTCAAGCTGCATTGCAACAGTGCATGTCTGACAAACACCATACATTGTCGTGAGTCCAAATTGCCTGGTGATCGTTATATTATTTTAAGTATTTGTTTTTAAATTTTTTATTTTTAATTGATGATAAAAATTTAAGCTAATGATATAATTGATTTACTCATTCAGATTTAAAGTCCCTCAACTTGTGAACTCCTCCCTTGCTGGGAGTTAGGTTCTCAGTTATTATTACAAAATTTAATAATGGAACTGTTCCCTTTGCATAAAGGACCAAGAAAAAGGAATGGGAAGACTAGGGAATAACATTAACATCCACACACTGTGTACTGTGCTCTCTGCTTGGTGCTTTGCCCCCAGTGATAATTTCTTCATATAGTGCAATGTACTGTGTAAGCTGGTTTTATATGCATGAGGTCTCAAGTACTCTTTGCATTTTAGGACAGATGTAGATCTGGTTTTGTTTTTGTTTATGCAATTTTATAAGAGTACAGGTGATGCTGTTTTATTTGAAGCCGGAGAGCTTCTGGTTCCATAACCAGAAATTGCTACCTGGCTCTTCTAATGAAATGGAGGGCTTTTCCATGCTTAGACCATCGAACGCTGAACTTGCTCTGAATTCAAACCTTTCCATTCACAGAACAAATACGCAAGTGCTTCAAGAGTTTTTCTGTAGATTAGGTTTATTAGCACCAACTTCATGACTTCTAAAATGTGACTGCTTTCATGTACAGATAGCTTGAAAACTGGTATCTACCAGTAATATGGGGTGGATAATTAATAATGCTTGGCTACTTATATGAAGACAATGTTGCTTATTTTTCAGAATTTTTTTTTAAACCAATTAAACTATTCCCTTCTCCCCAGGAGGTGGGCAGAAAAGCATTGGTAATCTCCTTTTACAGATGAGGAAAAACAAGATCAGAGGTGCTAAGTGCTGTACCTTGTGCCAGGTCTTCTGCCCCAATTCTGGGTTCTCCCCAAGCCCGTGTTTCTCCTTTCTCACAATCTTTACTTCTTCCTCTGACCCTCAGCACCACCCAAAATACTTTTAATTCTGGAAAAGAAAGCCAGCTGCACACGGGCACACTTGACCTTCATGCATTCAGAAGCTTTGGATGGTTCCCCATCCAGAATATTAGAGATGAAATGAAAGCAAAGTAGGCATCTGACAAAAGTTGCTTTTTCCCTTCTGCATTTTAGGACCTCAAGTAATGTTTATCCAGAAACTGCTGTCATACCATAGATTCATTGTATATTTAACAACATAGGCATACCATCTGGCAAATTAAAAATCTCTTAACCTACACCCTGGATCATTGCCCACATTTAAGAAAAGAACTAGGGTGGACACAGTGTTTTTTCCATGTCGCGTCTTCTGTGATGGGGCTGCGATATGTGGGAGCAGAGAATGGGGTGGGTGGGTGGAGCGTGTGCCAGATGAGAATCTATCAGCAATAGGAGGGGCTCTCCAAGTTAGCATCTCCACCCTGCTCCTCTCAGAGGACCGCCTTCCATTGCACTCAGCTGTGATGGTAGCAAGAACACGGGTACACTGAGGACAAGGAGAAAGGGAGCCTTGTGCTCTCTCTCTGCATCTGAGGCAGGACAGCACAGGCTGCAGAGAAGCCAGCTCATCAGGGAAGCACTTGTCTTCCACTTTGGGCTTTGACTGAGCACTGGGCAACTGGCCCCTGGGGATCAACGGAATAATCCTAAGCAGAGTTACTCTGTGTCACACTATGGAATGTTCCAAGTAGGTGGCCATGTTTTCAAAAGATGTCTTTTCCTCCTCTTGTTGTTGCCGTTTCATAGGTTTAGGATTGGGTGTGTGTTTCTCCTCTCTGAATGGCACTCGAATGTTTGCCGATTCCTACTCCGTGTGACTGGGGCGTACAGCTGTGGACTGATGCATGCTGTCCCATCATCTTTCATGATCAAAACAGTCTCTTCTTTTTTCACAGCTGAAGAACTGTCTGTAGGGAATCCAGAAGGAGCGTTCATGAAGGTGTTACAAGCCCGGAAGAAGCACACGAGCACTGAGCTGACTATTGAGCCGGAGGTGCCCTCAGACAGGAGTGGCATCAACTTCTCTGGCTTTGGGAGTGAGCAGCTAGACACCAATGACGAGAATGAAGTTATCAGTGCACTAAGTTACATCTTGCCGTATTTCTCAGCAGGAAATCTAGATGCGGAATCAATATTGTTACCGTTCACTAAACTGCTTTTTGCAAATGTGCAAGATCGCGATAGGCCCCTGAGTATTTTGAAAAACAATACAAACAGCCCTTCTCTTCAACCTGCATCCAACAACTCAACTTATGAAAATAAATTGAGAAAGCTATATTTGCTAGAAAAGATACTAGATGCGGAAAAACAAGAAAAAATCAATGAAGTTAAAAGGGACGAAAAAACTGCCATGCTTATGCAGTCCAGCCTTCTAGGTAACAAATTTAAACGCCAATTATTTGAAAAGAAATTAGAAACTGTCCAACCACAGGAAAACAGCCTGGCAAAGATTCAAAGTGTAGGCAACAACCTGCAGAGAGTGAACAGAGTCCTCACGGGCCCAAGGAGCATCCAGAAAAGGCACTTCAAAGAGGTGGGAAAGCAGAGCACCAGGAGGGAAGAGGGTGCGCAGGCATTTGTGGAGAGCGCTGCCCAAGAAAAAAGGCTCGGGAGCCCGGTCTCAAGGGAGCTGGAACAGCCTCATATAGAGCAGGGGCGTGAGAAGTTAGTGGGAAACACCGTCTACACCAAGCCTTCATTCACCCAAGAGCGTAACGCAGCAGTGTCTTCTGTGCTGAAACCCTTCTCCATGGGCGAGCCTTCTGCCTCCACCCCTGCAAAAGCCCTACCTGAGGTCAAAGACAGATCGAAAGACTTAACCCACGCCATTTTCATTTTAGAAAACGCAAAGGCTAGAGTTAAAACAATGAAAGCTGCTAAACCTTCCAGAAAAAAATACCGCTTTCATAAAAGTGGCTCCCGTGTGGCCCACAGAACACCCAAGGCCAAAAAGATTAGGAAGTTGAGAAAGGAAGGTTATCTCGATAGACTGATGCTCGCAAACAGGCCGCTGTTGTCTGCAGCGAAGAGCCTCATAAATTCACAAGGGGCTTTTTCATCCTTAGGAGACCTGAGTCTTCAACAAAACCCTTTTCTGGAAGTATTTGCTCCTTCAGAACGTTTTATAGAAAACACTAATGTAAAAGACACAGCTGCAAGAAATGCCTTTGAAGAAAACGTTTTTATGGAAAGCACTACTATGCCAGAAGGTACCATCTCTGAAAACACAACCTACAATCCTCCTCCTGAGGCAGATTCCGCTGGGACTGCGTTCAACTTAGGGCCAACTGGTAAACAAACTGAGACAAAATGGGAATACAACAACGTGGGCACTGACCTGTCCCCCGAGCCCAAAAGCTTCAATTACCCGTTGCTCTCATCCCCAGGTGATCAGTTTGAAATTCAGCTAACCGAGCAGCTACGGTCCCTCATCCCCAGCGAGGATGTGAGAAGGTTCATTTCTCATGTTATCTGGACCTTGAAGACGGACTGCTCTGACACCCGTGTGCAACTGACCTGTGCCAAGCTCATCTCCAGGACAGGCCTCCTGATGAAGCTTCTCAGTGAGCAGCAGGAAGTAAAGGCGTCCAAGGCAGAATGGGATACGGAACAGTGGAAAACTGAGAACTATATTAATGAGAGCATGGAAGCCCAGAGTGAACAGAAAGAGCAGAGGTTGAGTGAGGTGAGGACCACACAGAAACATGAGACCCAGATTTCCCATCATCTAGCATATGCCAGGAAAGTGCCCGCACAGGAGAACCCGGGACGCCCAGGCCATAGCTTGTCTTGGTCATGTAACTTTGGCCATGACAGTGATCTCCCACTTGACTTATTTGGAGAGTGAAATAGATTAGTGCACAAGATGAACTGTAGGCCGGGGGTGGTAGCTCACATCTGTAATCCCAGCACTTTGGGAGGCCAAGGTGGATGGATCACTTGAGGTCAGGAGTTTCAGACCAGCTTGGCCAACATAATGAAACCCTGTTGCCATAAAAAATACAAAAATTAGCTGGGTATGGTGACACATGCCTGTCCCAGCTACTTGGGAGGCTAAGGTCGGAGGATCACCTCAGCCTAGGGAGGTCAAGTCTGTAGTAAACTGTGATCACAACAGTGTACTGTAACCTGGGTGACAGTGAGATCTTGTCTTTATTTTGTTGAGACAAAAATAAATAAGAACCTGTAAGCTACTCACCTGGAATACTGGGGTTTTGAAAAGTTAGTTTTCATTCTGGTTTTTTTTTTTAAATAATCTTTCCTTTTTTTTTCAGCTCACAAAAGAAGTTCCAGGATATGGCTATAACAACAAACTCATCTTGGCAATATGTGTGACTGTAACACTGATTATTTTGATTACAATTTTCTGCCTCATTGAGGTAAGGACAATAATTAATTCAGGTTTTCAGAATGCAGTCCTGTCTTTGTGTGGATTCAGAGCTCACAAACTCAAAACCAAAGCCGCTTTCCCACCTGCTGCTACTTGACATTCTTCTTCAGTCGTTTAAGGTTGAGATATGCTTTGTTCTTTTACTGTAGTGTATATTCCAGGGTTTTTAAAGGAGACTCACTTCCAGGAGAGCTCTGTGAATTGAAAACAAGTGAATCCCGCTAGATTATTTTAAGAAGTTAAGTTGATATAATAGCAAAATTTCTCCCTCCCAAAATGATGTCAACAACTAGATGTACTCACCAAGTCACCGTTACTCTGCCACTAATTTATTTCCTTGTTGCTGAAATGATGAGAGACGTATAATCTCCACCTCACGGAGTTGTCGTCACCCTGGAGAGGAAGGAGACAGCCAAAAGAGAGAAGTATTGTCTTGTAGACTTACTAGGTTCACACAGTATCATCCTTCTCCAGTGTGTAAGGCGTTGTCTAAATAGGTCCAGTTAAAGCGCTACAGGGTAGCCATCTTTTAAAAAAATTGTTGGCCACATTTTTAAGTTCTCAGGGGAGGGGGAATGTCTCATACTCGAGCCCTCCTGAGCCTAGGCCCTCGGTGAGATGTGTCACCATTTCTTGGAGACCATGTGAGACATTCCCCCTCGGATCAGAGATGCTCAACCTGCATCAACATATCTAAAGCCTACATCTGGCTACTCTGGGGCAAGTCCTGTTCACAGTGCCCATTCCTGGAGCTTGCCTCTGTTTGCCTTTTGTTCGATTACATGATATATTACTTTTCCCAACAGGCCAGTGCTAGCATATTGGAAGTGATTTAATAAGCTGGCACCCTTGACGCTATGCTACCAGTCCAACCTTATTTGCCTCATTTACCATTTCCATTATTGTGGCAGCCCTCCATTCCAGCCAGAGCAACCCCTTACCATACCCCAGTCACACCATCCGCATTTCTGCTTTTGTCTGTGCGTTTGTCCATCTAAAATGCCCTTATTTCACTCTGCCTGTGGGAGTCCCATGAATCTCTCCAAAGCCACTCAAATTCATCTTCATGCTTGAAACCTTCCCTGACTATTCTGGCCCTCCTGAGCCTAGTCCCTTTGTGAGATTTGTCACCATATCTTGGACACCATATGAGAGGCTGAAGTGGGAGGATTGCTTGAGTCCGGAAGGTCGAGGATGCAGTGAGCTCTGGTCATACCACTGCACTCTAGCCTGGGCAACAGAGCGAGACCCTGTCTCAAAAACAGCCACCACCAAAAACTATCTTGGGATTTTAATAGGATTACATTAAATTTGTAGATTAATTTGAGAATTGATATCTGTACAACATTCTAGGAATGAGCTATCTCATGTCATGTGTTCATTTCTTGTTAATGTCTTTCAAAAGAGTTTTAGGGTTTCCATCATGTAGATCTTACACATCTTTTGTTAGATAAAAGATCTTTGTATTTCTGTTCCTAAATACTTCATACATTTGCATTGCCATTGTAAATGGGATCTTTCTTCCATTTTCTAATTGGTGGTACATCTGAAAATATTTGAGATTTGTGTGCTGCTCTCTTGATTTTGTTTCTAGCCACCGTACTGAATCCTCATATTACTTCCACTAAAATCTTAGTTGATTCTCTTAGGCTTCTTTGGCTGTCTAACATTTATCATTTCATATACAAATAATGATAGTTTTGTCTCTTCCTTTTCAATACTTATATTCTTTCCTTTCCGTTTTCCTTTCCTTTCTTTTTTTTTTCTTTCTCAGGGCCTTGTTGTCACCCAGGCTGGAGAGCAATGGTGTGATCTAGCTAACTGTAACCTCAAACTCCTGGGCTTAAGGGATCCTCCTGCCTCAGCTTCCAGAGTTGCTGGGACTACAGGCAGGCAGCTAATTTAAAAAAAAAATTGTTTTTAATGTTGCCCCAGGCTGGTTTTCCAGCCACTTTAGAGGAAGGACTCGGGTTTCCTTTTTTTTTCTCCTACTTTTAAGAGTTTTTTTTTTATGAGGAATTGTCCGTTGAATGTTAGCTAAAACAGTCAATAGAATGTATTAAGTGCCAGCTACACGCAAGACCCTAAGTTAGATACAGTCAGCCCTCTTCATCAGCAGGTCCACATCTTCAGATTCAACTGGATGAGGCTGAATACTTGAAAAAAGAAACGAAAATACAAATAGAAAGTATAACAACTCTCACCATTGTACAATATCGATACATTTTATTAGTGATGACTTAAAGTACATGGGACCAGGCATGGCGATTCACACTTGTAATCCCAACACTTTGGGAGCCCAACCTGGGCAGCATAGTGAGACCTTGTCTTTACTAAAAATAAAAATAAAAATAAAAAATTGGCCAGGTGTGGTGGTATGCACCTGTAGTCCCAGCTACTCAAGAGGCTGAGGTGGGCACATCACTGGAGCGCAGGAGGTTGAGGCTGCAGTGAGCTGTGATTGTGACACTGCACTCCAGCCTGAGCGACAGAGGGTGATCCTATCTCTAAGTAAGTGAATAAAGGATTTGGGGGGATGTGTGTTAGTTATATGCAAATACTGTACCATTATATGTAAGGGATTGAGCATCCACAGATTCTGGTATGGTGTGGGGGCGGTATCCTAGAACCAGTCCCCCGCAAGATAGCAAGGATGACTGAACTGTGGAAGAATCAAAGCTCTGTTGAACAGCATACAATTCCCGTCTTCAAAAAAGTTATCTCATCAGGTAGATGAGACTTATAATGAATAAAAGGAATGAATACAGATTTGGAGATAGTGGTTGTTGTGATGGATAATCTTAATTGTGTTTTCTTCCAAAACAGATTCATTCGAAGAAGAGAAGGGCATCAAAGGAAGATAACTTGAGCCCAAGCTAAGTCGTCTGGATGGCCTGGAGCCATGTTTGAAAAATTTTATTGTTAAGTATTGTTTTTTACTGATTAAATCAATGATAACATTCTTTACTTTGTGGTTGTGTTACTCAAAACAAGGATTTTTAACAATGATAAAAATAAAGCTTGTTAGATCATTTTTAATGTAATAAATTGCTTCCTGAAGATTTGATTAAAGAGAAAACTAGGCCAATCTAAGCAGAGTCCAAATGAAGTAGAAGGTCCATAGAGAACAGGGGAAAAAAGGAAGTTGTGGAACCACAGATACAGTAAAAGGAAAAAATTGGCCGGGTACAATGGCTCACACCTATAATCCCAGCACGTTGGGAGGCTGAGATGAGTGGATCGCTGGAGCCCAGGAGTTAGGGCAACATGACAAAACTCCCATCTCTACAAAAAAAAAAAAAAAAAAAAAAAAGGGCAACATGACAAAACCCTCATCTCTACAAAAAATACACAAACAAAAAACATTAGCCAGGCATGGTGGTGTGCACCTGTAGTCCTAGCTACTTGGTAGGCTGAGTTGGGAGTATCGCTTGAACTTGGGAGGTGGAGGATGCAGTGAGCTGAGATTGAGCCGTTGCACCCCAACCTGGGTGACAGGGTGAAAGAGTGAGACCCTGTCTTTAAAAAAAAAGAAGAAGAAAGAAAATAAAAGAAATTTACTTAATTAATCTATTTTTGTGACAAGGTCTGTTTCTGTCTCCCAAGCTGAAGTACAATGGCATAATTACAGCTCACTGCAGCCTCAAACTTCTGGGCTCAAGGCATCCTCCTGCCTTAAAGGACTCCCAAAGTGTAGAGATTACAGGAATAAGCCACTGTGAAACTATATATATATATATAAAAATATATATATATTTTTTAAACAAAGTTTGGCTCTGTCACCCAGGCTGGAGTGCCGTGGTGCAATCTCAGCTCACTGCAACCTCTGCCTTCTGGGCTCAAGTGATCCTCCTGCCTCAGCTTCTCAAGTAGCTGAACTACAGGCACATGCCAACGCGCCTGGCTAATTTTTGTATTTTTTGTAATGAAAGGGTCTTGATATGTTGCCCAGGCTGGTCTTGAACTCCTGGACTCAAGTGATCCTCCTACCTCAGCCTCCCAAAGTGCTGGGATTGCAGGCATCAGCTACCACACCTGGTTGTCTCTAACCACTTTTAAGTGTACAATTCAGTAGTGTTAAGAACATTCATATTGTTGTACAACAAATCTCCAGAACTTTTTCATCTTCCCAAATTGAAACTCTGGACCTATTTAAACACTAACTCCCCATTCTCTCCTCCCAGCCCACGGTAACTGCCCTTCTACTTTCTGTTTCTATGAATCTGACCACTCTGAGTACCTCACGTGAGTGGAATCACACAGTATTTCTCCTTTGGTGACGGGCTTATTTCTCTTGGCATAACGCCCTCAAGGGTTCTCCATGTTGTAACGCATCAGAATTTCCTTCCTTTCAAGGCTGAAGAATACATCCGTTGTATGGATCAATCACATTTGCGTTCTCCATTCATCAGTTAATGCACATGTAGGTTGTTTGCACCTTTTGATCATTGAGAATAATGCTGCTGTATACATATGTGCATGTGTTTCTGTATGACCATTTGTTTGCAATTCTTCTGACTATATATGTATGAAGAGAATTACTGGGTCATGTAGTAGCTCTAAGTTTAACTTCTTGAGTAACTGCCAAAGCATTTTCCATAGTGCTACATGGTTTTACATTCTTGCTAACAATATATAATGGTTCCAGTTTCCCCAAATCCTCCCCAACACTTTTTATTTTTTTTAAACAAATACAGCCATGCTGGTGAATGAGAAGTGACATCTCATTGTAGTTTGGGTTTTAATTTTACAATATTTTAATTTTTAAAATCAAAAGAATATACTTGGCCTGAGGTGGTGGCTCACGCCTGTAATCCCAGCATTTTGGGGGGCCAAGTTCAAGACCAGCCTGCCCAACATGGTGAAACCCCATCTCTACTAAAAATATGAAAATTAGCCAGGTATGGTGACAGGTGCCTGTAATCCTAGCTACCCAGGAGGCTGAAACAGGAGAATCACTTGACCCGGGAGGTGGAGGTTGCCATGAGTTGGAATCGAGCCATTGAACTCCATCCTGAGAGGAGACGCTGGCTAAAAAAAAAAAAAAAAAAAAAAAAAAATATATATATATATATATATATATATATATATATATAAATACATACACACTAATTATTTTCTTGTATAATAAAATTATTTTACAAAAGAAGTCCATTAGTAACACACACTTGCACGCAAAGCACAAGACACATCTAAGGGCCAGGAGTAGTGGCTCACGCCTATAATCCTAGCACATTGGGAGGCCGAGGCAGTCAGGTCACTTGGGGTCAGGAGTTCGGGACCAGTCTGGTCAACATAGTGAAACCCCGTCTCTACTAAAAATACAAAAATTAGCCAGGCATGCTGGTGGGCGCTTGTAATCCCAGCTGCTCGGGAGGGTGAGGCAGGAGAATCACTTGAGCTTGGGAGGTGGAGGTTGCAGTGAGTAGAGATTGCACCACTACACTCCAGCCTGGGCGACAGAGTGAGACTCTTATCGTGAAAAAAAAAAGGGGGGGGCATTCCCATTGCCCACGGTCCTCATCTTGCCATCTTTGTTGACTTTCCTTACTTACCTGGTCCGTGGAGGCATATACACATATTCACATTTGCCACCCTTGGTGCTCAACCAAAGTATATTGAATACATTTATTTGACAATTAGTGCTTGTATTTTTTCATTTCACATATGTGTTCTGTTTTCCTAACTAGATTGAAGTAAGCCGCCGTGCACGGTGGCTCACGCCTGTAATCCCAGCACTTTGGGAGGCAGAGGCAGGCGAATCACCTGAGGTCAGGAGTTCGAGACCAGCCTGGCCAACATGGTGAAACCCCGTCTCTACTAAAAATACAAAAAAATTAGCCAGGCGTGGTGGTGCACGTCTGTAATCTCAGCTACTCAGGAGGCTGAGGCACAAGAATCACTTGACCACAGGAGGTGGAGATTGCAGTGAGCCAAGATCATGCCACTGAACTCCAGTCTAGGCAATAGACTGGGATGCCATCTCAAAAAAAAATTCCTTGGCAGTTTAATATTAGATAAATTCCTTGGCAGTTTAATACTAGAAATGCAACTTGGCAACGTGAGCTAAGCTTTTACCTGAGAGTCATAATGTAAAAGAGAAAACTTTGTATTTTTGAAAAGGAAATTCAGGGCCGGGTGCGGTGGCTCACGCCTGTAATCCCAGCACTTTGGGAGGCTGAGGTGGGCGGGTCACTTGAGGTCAGGAGTTCGAGACCAGCCTGGCCAACATGGCAAAACCCCATCTCTACTAAAACTACAAGAATTCGCCAGGCATGCTGGTGGGAGCCTGTAATCCCAGCTACTCAGGAGGCTGAGGCATGAGAATTGCTTGAACTCAGGAGGTGAAGGTGGCAGTGAGCCGAGATTGCGCCACTGCACTCCAGCCTGGGTGACAGAGCAAGACTCAGTCTCAAAAGTATAAAATAAAATGAAAATAAAATAAATGATTGAATGAATTAAATGGATAAGCAGAGGAATCTCTGAACTAAATCTTGAAGAATGTCAAGTATAGTTCATGGAACTTACTGTATAACGACATTTGGATGCAAGACAATTTTTGGAAACCGCAAAGAGTTGCTTTTGAAGTAACCAAAAGCAAATAGTCTAAGTAGCTGAATGCCCCTCTCCCCACTCTTTTAAGTGAGAAAAAAATTTGCCATCTTGTGCAGTGTTTTGTTTTCCCTATTTCCCCCGTCTTGAGCAGGACTGGCACTAGGCATAAAATACCAAATTCTTCTCATTAGCTGCACCTACTTGTATTTTTTGAGAACTAATTGCTTAACTCATTGGATCACAAAGTTTTGTGTTTACATTATGACTCTCAGGTAAAAGCTTAGCTCACGTTGCCAAGTTGCATTTCTAGTATTAAACTGCCAAGGAATTTATCTAATATTAAACTGCCAAGGAATTTTTTTTTTTTTTTTTGAGATGGAGTCCCAGTCTATTGCCTAGACTGGAGTGAAGTGGTGCGATCTCAGCTCACTGCAACCTTTGCCCCCAGGGTTCAAGCAATTCTCATGCCTCAGCCTCCCAAGTAGCTGGGATTACAGGCACCCGCCACCATGCCCGGCTAATTTTTGTATTTTTAGTAGAGATGGGGTTTCGCTATGTTGGCCAGGCTGGTCCAAACTCCTGACCTCAAGTGATCCACCCGCCTCTGTCTCCCAAACTATTGGAATTACAGGTGTGAGCCACTGCACCCGACCATGTTAATTTAAGAATGAACTCTTGATTATTTTTTATTTTGGAAGATCTGCAAAAGTAGACGGGAAGCTCCTTAAAGAGACAAATTGTCTTCTTCCCTTTTGTGATATGTTGTCAAAGGACTGGGTGACTTTTTTAGATTGGGAGGTGTGAAGAACCTCTTAGGAGGAAACAATAAGCTGATGTGAATGACAAAAAAGAGCCAGGCCTAGAGAGAGTAGGAGAAAAGAATATGCCAGGTGGAAGGAAGAGCAACTGCTCATTCAGGTGGAATAACCTCGGCAAGTTGAAGGAACAGGAAGAATATGAGTGTGGCAGAAGCAGAGTGGGAGAGAGAATGGTGGGAAGTCAGGTCTGAGAGAATATAGCTAGATCAGGCAGTGTTTTGTAAGCCAGTACTCACATCCACAGATATATGTGGATTTTATATCAAATGCCATTAAAATAAAGTCATTTAAATACATAGTCGATGACGTGCTTTTCATTTGTGTTTCTTTGGTGCTTAGAGACTTCAGGTTTGCTTTTACTCAGAGTTCTTGAAGTCACTATACTTGTATTAGTCATTCTGTTTTCAGATATGATAAGTGATTTTTACTACAGTACATACATTGTCTAGAGAACTTTACTTTTGATATCTAAATTGAAAAGGTCTTTTCCTTGTTAATTTTCAATAGACTGGCATCCGAATATTCTAGCCCTGGCAGACAGACCTCTTAGCTGCTTTGTTGATGAGAACACTCCAGTTAGTGGAACAAACGGTGCAACATGTGGACAGTCTTCAGATCCCAGGCTGGCAGAGAGGAGAGTCAGGTCACAACGACATAGACATTACATGAGCAGGACAAGTTTACATATTCTTCCATACCTACCAGAAGGCTATGGTATGACAACCGGCAAAGAAAAAATAAAACATGGTTTACTGATTTCAGCTTGCTGAGGAAATAATAACTTTGAAAAAAGTTATTAATCTGGGCTTAGGGATTCTGCATGAAAATAAATATAAAACCTCCCAACTTTAAAAAGTCTTTGAAGTGGTAGATAACTACCCAGCCAACAGTTTGACCTTGTGCTAGTCATTCAGCCTCAGCATTTGTATTCTTTTATCATGAAGTGAGATGACTAGTTTATAACAAAGGTAGTGTGAGAAGCATGCGTACGAGATGAAGTGAGACTATTTTGTAAATAGGCACTGTCTAGAAAGGTAAGGTGGTATTGTCACTGATAACAGTAATCTGAAGTACAACTTACGATGTAATTTTTTAGACATATATTTAGAAATAATTTCAAAGGCATATTTCTGCTGATGCTCATATATTTGTACTGTCTATAATTTTGGATTATGTGAGTGGACTGTTGTAAATGATTGAGTCACTTCTGTGTTTGTATAAAATGATTACAATCTTATATAAATTCCTAGATTATAGAGTTTCATGTGGAAGATAACATGAGTCTTCTACTAATAGAATACAGAAGTTTCTAAATTAATACCAACTTGTGACTACTTGTATGTACTGTGAACTTGACTTCCTCTCCTTGCTTGCCAAAAGCTCACCAAGGTTACTTACATCCTTGTCCTCTTAACAGACTGTAGATAAACCACTTTAGATTGATGTTGACACCTAATGACCAACATCGGGAATTGCCACATGTAAGTTTTATTTTACTGAAGAATACTTTTAAAAACACTTCTGCAAATGCATGATTCTAATTTTATTTTTAAATGTATTTTAACTCTTTAATTTGAAAAAATTTGTCCATTAACTGTGCTGTGACTCAAAGGTTAACTTTTAGCACTATGATTAAATTATAGGCTTGAGATACAGAGAGACCTAGGTTCATATCTTGGCTTTGCCATGTAACACTGAGCACATTCTTTAACCTCTTTGAGCCTCAGTTTTATCCTCTATAGGGGAAAATAATAGCATCAACCATCTACGTTTGTTGCAAGAAATCAGTGATATTTAATCTCATGTGAAATGCTGGCACATTGTCTGGCACAGTAAATTTTAACTGTGATTATCAATGTTCAGACCTGAGAAGAAACTGTCTCCTGCCATTTCTCTTGGAGATTATAAGGCAAGCTCTTTAGAGTGGGAGTGGTTATACTTTTATAATATTTCTGTGATTTGAATTTAAAAAATTATACAACCAAAACATAAAAATAAAGTGGATACCAAGGCTGAAATTATTATAGCTGTCCTCTATAATAATATGATTTTATGTTTATCATTTTTAAAAGTTTAAAGTTTAAATTTATTGACTTTATAGGTTTATAAACAAATTAGATTTATACTAATAAATATTAGTAATAGTTTTATTTTATGTATTGAAGTTTCTCATTAGATTTTATTTAAAGAAAAGTGGTTCTGTCGTTTTTTATAAAAGACAAAACAAAACAAAACCCACCATAAAGAAACACTTGTATAGATTGTTCTCTTCACTCTGGCCTTTCCTCTGCCTTCCCAAGGGCTTTGAGTTCATTTTGTCCTTGACTGTTTTCTCCCCAGTGTGCACGCTTGCTCTTTACAGTGTGCACGCTTGCTCTTTAGTCGTCTTCTTTCTAACTTGGCTATTTTTCCGTCTCTATCTGTTTATGACATAGAATGTCTCCTCAGTATCTTATCTGCTTTGCCTCTCTTTGAGCTCACATGCAACCTTGAGAATTCACCTTTGTCTAGCAAAGAGAAAACATAAGTTTTGATGTAAAATTAGGCATAAGAAGCATTATCAATCTCCAAACTCTCTGAAAGTTTCTGGAATTTCCTCCTCAAATCTTCCAAATGTTGACCAGCCTCTTTCTCAGAGCCCTTTATACATCATTTAAAATCTTTTAATTATTAGTATTGTGACAATCTTGATTTGTTTTCCATTGCAACATATTCAGTATTTGAGCCACATGATAAGTTGAGTTTGCCTTTAGATAGCTGGCCCATAGCCCTCATCATTTATAAAATTGTTTCCAAGAGACAGAACAAATGATGTGTAAAGCCCTTTCTGATAATAAATAAAATAGATTTGTAATTTGGATTTTTTCCCTATTAGTGTATCATCTTAAGGTATACAACTGTCTTTGATCCGGACATTCTGAATGTTTTTGTTATCAGTGTTTCTTAATTTTACAGAACAGAGGACAACGCAACAAGACCAGCTATATTTCTTACAAACGCAGACTAGTGTGAGCACATGGCATGATCCAAGAGTGCCCAGGTAAGAACGCATTTTAAGCACTCTAGACCATCAAAGAGCCGTCTCACCTAGGATTTCTTTGATTTTTAAGAAATTTTTACCTTTTAAAAATAGTTTATGTAAAAGTTTGACTCTTCTGATAGTTATTTTGGTTTTGACATTTAGTAAAAAGTCCTACCTACTTCTCTGCAATCTCACCTCAGTTCTCCCCTCCCTCACCAGTCCCTAGCCACCCTCTCCTGCTTCTCCTTAAAAAAAAGTAGAATAAAAACATGGGTCTTTTAGGAGTTTGAAATTTGTCCTAGGGTACCAAGCAGGGTGGCTGTCACCTGTGTTTCCAACACTTTGGGAGGCTGAGGCAGGAGGATCACTTGAGCCCAGGAGTTTGAGACCAGTCTGAGCAACATAGAGAGACCCCGTCTCTACCAAGCATTAAAACTCAGCCGTTTGTGGTGGAGCACATCTGTGGTCCCAGTTGCTTTGGAGGCTGAGGCAAGAGGATTGCTTGAGCCAGGGAGGTTGAAGCTACAGTGAGCCTCGGTCGCACTACTACACTCCAGCCTAGGAGACAAAGCAAGAACCCCATTTCAAAAAATGAGAGAGAAAATTCGTGTAGTCCCAACTGCTCGCGAGGCTAAGGTGGGAGGCAGAGGTTTCAGTGAGTCAAGGTCACACCAGGGCACTCTATCCTGGGCAACAGAGTGAGATTCCATCTCAAAAAAAAGAGAAGAAAAAAGGCCGGGCGCGGTGGCTCACGCCTGTAATCCCAGCACTTTGGGAGGCCGAGATGGGCGGATCACGAGGTCAGGAGATCGAGACCATCCTGGCTAACACGGTGAAATCCCATCTCTACTAAAACTACAAAAATTAGTCGGGCGTGGTGGTGGGCGCCTGTAGTCCCCCACTGCTCGGGAGGCTGAGACGGGAGAAGGGCGTGAACCTGGGAGGCGGAGCTTGCAGTGCGCTGAGATTGCATCACTGCACTCCAACCTGAGTGACAGAGCAAGACTCCGTCTAAAAAAAAAAAAAAAGGAAAAAAAAAAAGGCTAAAAAAGGAAAATTGACCTGGGGAAAAACAGAAAGCATACCCTTTAAAAAAGGATCATAGGTTGATATTCTTAATTATGGTTCAGCTTTAAAAAATCTTTTAAAAAAATTAACCTCCTAAATGTATTCAATGTTCTTTTATGTGTTCCTTAGTAAAATTTGATTTTAATGTAGAAAACAACCTAATTAATTCATTAATTAATCTTTTTGAGACGGAATCTTTTTCTGTTGCCCAGGCTGGAGTGCAGTGGTGCAATGTCGGCTGACTGCAACCTCCGCCTCCCTAGTTCAGGCGATTCTCCTGTCTCAGCCCCGAGTAGCTAGGATTATAGGTGCTTGCCACCACCATACGCAGCTGATTTTTGTATTTTTAGTAGAGATGGGGTTTCGCCATGTTGTCTGGTCTTGAATGCCTGACCTCAGGGGATTCGCCTGCCTTGACCTACCAAAGTGCTGGGATTATGAGCCACTGTGCCTGGCCTTAATTTAAATATCCAAACTTGTATATTTCAGCTGCAGACATTGCATTTACTAACCAAAATGTCAATTACTTTTAACTTCAAAAAGATGAAATGACACACAAATGAATTTAGTTACTTCCCATAATTTTTGGAATATTCTTTTCTTCCTTCCTCCCTCCCTCCCCTTTTGTTTGAGACAGGATCTGGCTCTGCTGTCCAGGCTGGAGAGCAGTAGTGCAGTCCTGGCTCACTACAACCTCTGCCTCCTGGGCTTAAGCCATCCTCCCACTTCAGCCTCCTGAGTAACTGGAACTACAGGCATGCGCCACTGTACCCCGATAATTTTTGTATTTTTAGTAGGGATGGGGTTACACAGTGTTGCCCAGGCTAGTCTGGAATTCCTGAGCTCAAACAGTCTGCCCACCTCGGCCTCCCAAAGTGCTGGGATTAAAAGCATGAGCCATCGTGCTTGGTCCTATTTTGAGTTTTTTTTTAATGAATAGATGCAAGGTACCAAGTAGTCCAGTTGAAACTGGAAAAAAGCTTGAATTCTAAATTAAATTAGAAATCAGCTCTGTACGTTTCACATACAAAGGATTTGCTGGATGTGGATATTTTATGTTAAGCACAGCAGCCCCCCTCCTCCAAAACAAAACAAACCCCCCAAAACAATCCACAGAGGGTTGTTTTTTCAGGACTTTATTGTGTATTTGAATCAAATAGAGATGTGCCTAACTTGTCGTGGGTTACTTTGATATTCTGTATAAGTAAAAGTATGATAATGAAAATGTCTTACTTTGTGTTATAGAGCTCAGAATCCTTTGAGGGTGGCAACCAAGGGAATGTACTATTACTCATTACTTTATCAAGGTTGCCATTTCTATGTCTTGACAATATAAGCTGTTACTTTTTTAAAAGTAGTAGGGGCCGGGCACGGTGGCTCACACCTGTAATCCCAGCACTTTGGGAGGCTGAGGCGGGAGGATCACTTGAGGTCAGGAGTTCGAGACCAGCCTGGCCAACATGGTGAAAACCCATCTCTACTAAAAATACAAAATTAGCCAGGCGTGGTGGCCTGTGCCTGTAAGCCGAGCTACTCGGGAGGCTAAGCCAGAAGAATCGCTTGAACCTGGGAGGCGGAGGTTGTGGTAAGCTGAGATCACACCTTTGAACTCCAGCCTGGGCAACAGAGCAAGGCTCCATCTCTAAATAAATAAATGATAGATAGATAGATAGTAGTGGGGAGGAAATTTTACATTTTTTTTAAAGCTTACTAAAAAAAATCCAAGGGCCTAACTTCAAAATCAGTTTTACTATATAAATTATAAAAAAGAATTTTTTTGATTCTGTTTATCCAAATGTTCCTTTTGTATGGAGGATCTTTTATGAAAGTATACTATAAATAATTAGATTCTAATAGAATATTACTATGCAAAGATATTTATAAAATCTCAAAGTCAGACTCTTTAAAACAAACTTTATTTAAAGATATCCAGGATACCTAGATTTATCCAAGAAATCCCATTCGTCGTGTTTTGCATTTCTCTTTAAAACAATGATTAATGCCTTGTTATTTGTTATGTTGCATACTGAGTGACTGTAGTCTTGAAATACAGATCTGTATTACTTTGTATAGACTGTATAACATTCCGTTTTTCTTTAACCAGCTCCCAATGAGACATAAAGATTATTTCTAGTTTTTTGCTTTTAATCAGTGCTTTAGCGCTCTCCCAGGTATGACTGAAGATTTATAAAATTCTAAATAAAATGACATGAAATGAAATTCTACATTTTATCAGTAGGATTGTTCATGTACTGATTTAATTATTATTATTTTTTTAGCTTTAAGTTCAGGGGTGCATGTGCAGGTTTGTTATAGGTAAACTTGTGTCATGGAGGTTTGTTGTACAGATGATTTTGTCACCCAGATACTAAGCCTAGCCTAGTACCCATTAGTTATTTTTGCTGATCCTCTCCCTCCTCCCACCCTCCACCCTCCTATAGGCCACAGTATCTGTTGTTCCTCTCTATGTGTCCGTGTGTTCTCATCATTTAGCTCCCACTTATGAGAACATGCAGTATTTGGTTTTCTGTTCCTGCTTTAGTTTGCTAAGGATAATGGCCTCCAGCTCCTGTTTTTCATTTCTAAACTATTAAAAAATCTATTTGGGGCCTGCACAGTGGCTCATGCCTGTAATCCCAGCCTTTTGGGAGGCCGAATTGGATGGATCACTTGAATCCAGAAGTTTAAGATCAGCCTGGGCAACATGGCCAAACTACATCTCTACAAAAAGTTTAAAAACTAGCCAGGTGGCGTGGTGCATGCCTGTAGTCCCAGCTACTCAAGAGGCTGAGTTGGGAGGATCATCTGAGCCTGGGAAGGTTGAGGCTGCAGTAAGCCGTAATCACACCACTGCATTCCAGCCTGGGCAACAGAGTAAGACTCTGTCTCAAACAAACAAACAAACAAACAAAAAAAATACATATATTTGTTCATTCCTAATAATCTGTCTTTGATAGTTCATCTTTGTGATTGTACTTTTTTATTTTTGAAAACATTACATATCATAACTGCTCTCTTTTTGGTTTCTAACAGTCTTTGGGGACCTAATTCTGGGAGTTTATTGTTGACTGTGCTGCTGGCTGTCTGTTGAGTCTGTTGTGGACTCTGTCACTCTGTCATGGTGGCTTTTCTTCTGAAGGGTTTGGTGATCTTAGATGCTGAATTTATTGTTTGAACTGAATTAGTTGGAAGTTCTGTATACATACAGTGGGAATTTAGTATGTTTTCCTGGAATCACTTCATTCCCTCTTTGAGTTCTCAGCTTGGGGAGGAAGCTTCAGGTTTCCTATCCCAGCCTTGCTGCTGGCCTGCCCCTCTGCCTACCTCTCACTCAGGTACCAGCTTCACTCAGTCCCCCACTTCACTCAGTCTCCCCAAATCTCCCCCTCCGCTTTTTTTTTTTTTCTTGACAGAGTCTCGCTCTGTGACCCAGGCTGGAGTACAGTGGCATGATCTCAGCTCACTGTAATCTCTGCCTCCTGCGTTCAAGTGATGCTTGTACCTCAGCTTCCTGAGTAGCTGAGATTACAGACGTGCACCACCACACCCGGCTAATTTTTTTGTATTTTTAATAGAGATGGGGTTTCACCATGTTGGCCAGGCTGGTCTCGAACTCCTGACCTCAGGTGATCCGCCTGCCTCCCAAAGTGCTGGGATTACAGGCCTGAGCCATCACACCTGGCCACCCTCTTCAAACAAAATATGGGCATTTCCATTGGCCTAGGTCTTCACCTTGCCTACTTTATTGACTTACATTACTTACCTGGTCCCTGGAGACATAGACACATTTGTCACCCTTAGAGCTCAACCAAATTGTATTGAATGCATTTATTTGGCAATTTGTGCCTGTATTTTAATCTTCATCTCACATATGTGTTCTGTTTTCCTAACTAGGTTGAAATAAGTTATCTGATGTACAGAATCCTGTTAAGTATTTTTCTTTCTTTCTTTTTTAAAAATTTTGAGACAGGGTCTTGCTCTGTCACTGAGGCTGGAGTGCAGCGGTGCAATCACAGTTCAGTGCAACATCCACCTCCCAGGCTCAAGGGATCCTCCCACCTCAGCCTCTTGCCTAGCTGGAACCACAGGTGTGCACCACCGTGCCCAGCTAATTTTTCAATTTTTTTCTAGAGACAAGGTCCTGCTATGTTGCCCAGGCTGGTCTCGAACTCCTGATCTCAATCTATTGTCTGGCCTTGGTCTCTCAACGGGCTGGGATTGCAGGTGTGAGCTATTGCGCCTGGTCAACTATTTTTCTTTAAATTACTTTTTGGTTGAGGCCGGGCACGGTGGCTCACGCCTGTAAACCCAGCACTTTGGGAGGCCGAGATGGGCCTCCCCATAATGAGGTCAGATCGAGACCATCCTGGCTAACACGGTGAAACCCTGTCTCTACTAAAAATACAAAAAATTAGCCGGGCATGGTGGCGGGCACCTGTAGTCCCAGGTACTCGGGAGGCTGAGGCAGGAGAATGGCGTGAACCCGGGAGGCGCAGCTTGCAGTGAGCCGAGATCGCGCCACTGAACTCCAGCCTGGGCGACAGAGTGAGACTCGGTCTCAAAGAAAAAAAAAATTACTTTTGGTTGTCACTTATCTCCATAAATATTAATATATGTTTATAAAATCTTTCTCTTATCTGAAGAGCTGACCTCAACCACTCAGGGTTGAGTCCCTGTGATAAGGTTTCAGGGTGCCTGAAATGTCTTCATGATTCGTCCCCTGGGCTAAGCTGAAAGCTAGTGACATGTCAGGTCAATAAATTAAGGTTATTTCCCGATAATACAAACATGTAACACCGTGAAGTAGGTTTTAGACAAGATTCCCTCTTTTCCACGGCAAACGAGGTCCTAGCTAAGGCATTGGGAAGGTGGCGGGAGATTGGAAGTGCAGTAGTTGCATTCTGGAGTTTACTGAGGCTTTCCCAGTGGGGATTCCACGCAACAGGTCTTAGGACGCCCTTCCCTCAGGGCGTGGCTCCTGGCACAGATCCACAGCGGTTGTCATCGGAGTCAATTTCAGGACTCCAGCTCCAAGCTTCGGAGTTCCCTAAATTCTGGGGGCTTGTCTGCTTGTCTCCCCCAACTAATTTCCCTCCGTCGCTGGCGCTGCCCGGTGCCTTCGGTCGCTCCGGCGGCCCCTCTCCGCGACTTTTTTTTTCTTTCTCTCTCTGGCTCTTTCAGCATCAGTTTCCCGATGGGGCGAGAGGGCAATAATACCTGGGGGCTCCCCTGCCTTCCTCTCCCAGCCGCAGAAGGGGAGATGCGGGGAGGAGGTCTGGCCGGCTTTGGGCTCCAGACGGAGGCTGTGGTCTCCGAAGGCCTTTGACAAGGGGCATTTCGCGAACTGCATGCCCCTCTCAGCCGCGCCACCGGCGCCCGGAGTCCAGCCGCGCCACCGGCGCCCGGCGTCCAGCCGCGCCGCGCTGCGCGGAGTGCGGGCGCTCCGGGCTCCCGCCCGGGACTCTACACTCCCGCGCTCCCCGCAGCGCCGCCGCGTAGCGTCGCTGCGTCCCAGGCTCTCCCGCGGTGCAGCTCACGTGACCCCGCTCTGGTAGAGGGAAGAAACAAGATAGCGGCAGAAGGCGATCCGGCGTGGGGCCGCAGCAATTCTGATTGAGCCTTCTCCCTCCAGCCGCTTCCGCCGGCCGGGCCCCTCCCGCCCGGCACCGCGGGCCTCCCCACCCGCCCCAGCGCTGCCCACCGCCCCCACTGCGCCCGCCCCTTCCCCTCCGCTTTACCTTCTCCCTCCTGCCTAGGCTCCAATCGGAGGGGCAGGTGGACAGGCCGCCCAAGCAGCCCGCGGCTCCCGCTGCGGAGCCCTGCCACCGCCGCCACGGCCCACGTCTGGACCCATCGAGGGTCTTCGCCCGCGGCACCGCGGTAGCCTCCGGGGCAGATGGGCCGCAGGCCAGGCTGAGATGGACCCCAAGACGCGGCTGAGCTCGCCCAGCAGGGGCAGCAGTAGCCGGAGGAAGCCGCCGCCGCCGGTCCCCCGCCCCCACGACTCTCCCATCCCTCCGCGGCAGCACCAGCGCCCCCGGGCGGCGGCCGGGGAGGGACGGGGGGCGAGGAGGCGGGGGCGGCCACCTGGCCGGGACCATCGTGGCCCTGAGGGCCGTCACCAAGGTGGTGCACAATGACCACGACAGCGAGAAGGAGGAAGAGGACGGCCACACCGAGGAGACCCACGAGTCTGAGGACAATGAGGAGGATGAGATGGAGGAAGACGATGATGACTCCGATTACTCGGAGGAGCTGGAAGACGACGACGACGACGACGACGCCAGTTACTATATGGAAAGCAGCTTCAGGAGCCATAGTACCCACAGCAGCACTCCAGGTACCCACTCAGCGCAGTTGCCGCAGACTCCTTCCCCACCTCCTCTGCCCTCCCCCCTTGCTCAGTCCTGTACTGTGCATCCTGCTCCGGTCTCCCCCCAACCCCGCCGACCCCCCAAACAGAGAAAAACTGGATTTACAAGAGGAAAGAGGTGCATTGTTCAAAATGGAGATTGAATTGTTGCAGTTTGAGGCCGCACTCGCTCGATCTCTCTCACACCCCCTCAACTCCCTCTTTTCCTCTTCAAAATGTGTGCAGTGCAGTGTCTCCGCGGGCAGGATAGAAACTTTGGCAAACACATATCTATTGCATTCATTTTTCTCCCCTTGTTTTGGTGTGGTTTTCTGGAATGAAAGCCTCTTGTTTTACAAACCTCTTTGCATTTCTAATGAGGTTTCTTTCGAATTTTTATTATATATCTGTTCCTTAAAAGGGAATTAAGGATTTGGACCGATCGTGGCATACAAACACACACAAAAACATGCTGTTTTCACACTCCTAACTGTGGTTTTTAAATTGTGTTAAGGAAACGGATCATTTGGGTTAGTAGGGGAACCTTACCTGGTCTTGTGTGTTTGTTTTTATTCTTCGAGTGCTAATGGGCACGTGCAACAGTTGCTGGTAAGTGGCTGATTAAAAAGCAAAGCAGAAAGCCAAACAAGACCCAACCAAATTTGGTAATTCATCCGATTCAAAATTGTTTTTGACTGTTAAATCAAAAATAAAAGTATAAGACCGCAGGAACGCGTGTCATAACTCATTTGATCGCTTTGCCTTGCTTGGGAAATGCGGTTTCGTGTCACCTGTTGTAGAAGATGTGTAGTTGATCATCTAGACATAATTGCCGAAGATAAACTTTTGGACCAACTTCTGCGTCAGTATCAGATTTCTTACACAGCGACTTTTTCTTTTCATTCTATTTCTGAGGAAAAAGCCCTCCCGAAATCCATAATGAATCTCTCCATGGCAATCCCTCTTCTGTTTTCACATGGAAAAGTTTCTGTGGGCTGGTAATGAGATGCATTTTGTTAAACAACCCCCCCCGCCCCCACCAAAGGCTGCTTTGTATTAAATACTTGGTTGCAATTTACTAAATTGTGAAATTAACCAAAGCAACAACCGGCAAGACTTTTCCTTTATAATTTTGCAAATCTAGATTAATTAAATTAGAATCTGGTTTTAAAAGCATTTCAAAAATAAGGTTTATGAGGAAATACTTGTGGGCAAAAAGGACCCTTTTTTCCTTGAAGTGAGGTATGTCACCTCTTTCTCAGATCGTCTAGGGTAGAAGTGGTTAAATTGAAAAGTTTCCATTTTTCTATAAATGCTTAAATACTTATTGGAGAAGTAGGGTAGTATTATATTAAGCCAAATGTAAACCCACGTAGGCTGTCCTAACATAAGCTGTAAAAAGGTAATTTCTGTTGCCCGATGGTCAGAATCGTTGCCAGACTTGTCCTGGGAGGCTGGCTGAAGAATGAAGGGAATGAATCAAGTATCAGGTGTTTATGTCTTATATGTAGAAAGGACTACATGTAAATTCTTGCCAACTTAGTTTTAGTACTTTTTTTTTTGTTTATTTTTTTTAGAGGAATCCTTGCTCTGTCACCTAGACTGGAGTGCAGTGGCACAATCTTGGCTCACTGCAACCTCCACCTCCCGGGCTCAAGTGATTCTCCTGACTCACCCTCCCGAGCTGCTAGGATTACAGGCACCCACCAGCACGCCTGACTAATTTTTGTATTTTTAGTAGAGATGGGGTTTTACTATGTTGGCCAGGCTGGTCTCGAACTCCTGACCTCAAGTGCTCTGCCTGCCTTGGCCTCCCTCCCAGAGTGCTGGGATTACAGGCGTGAGCCACTATACCTGGCCCTTAGATGTGTCTTTGTGCTTTGCATGCAAGTGTGTGTTAGTAATGGACTTCTTTTGTAAAATTATTAATTATACAAGAAAATAATTTAGTGTTTATTTATTTATTTATTTATTTATTTATTTTTGGACAGCGTCTCCTCTCAGGCTGGAGTTTGGTGGCGTGATTCCAACTCACCTCCTGGGTCAAATGATTCTCCTGCTTCAGCCTCCAGAGTAACTGGGATTACAGGTGCGTGCCACCATACGCAGCAAATTTTTGTATTTTTAGTAGAGACGGGGTTTCACCATGTTGGCCAGGCTGGTCTTGAACTTCTAAACTCAGGTGATCCACCCACCTTGGCCCCCCAAAATGCTGGGATTACAGGCGTGAGCCACCACCTCAGGCCAAGTATATTCTTTTGATATTAAAAATTAAAGTATTATAAAATTGAAAACCCAAACCACAATGAGATGCCACTTCACATTCACTAGCATGGCTGTAATTATTTTAAAAAAATAAAAATAAAAAGTATTGGGGAGGATTTGGGGAAAATGGAACCATTATATATTGTTAGCGAGAATGTAAAACCATGTAGCACTATGGAAGATACTTTGGCAGTTACTCAAAAAGTTAAACTTAGAGCTACTATATGACCTAGTAATTCTATTCATACATATATAGTCAAAAGAATTGCAAACAAATGGTCATGCAGAAACACATGCACATATGTATACAGCAGCATTATTCTCAATGACCAAAAGGTGCAAACAACCTACATGTGCATTAACTGATGAATGGGTAATGCAAATGTGATTGATCCATATAACAGATGTATTCTTCAGCCTTGAAAGGAAGGAAATTCTGATGCGTTACAACATGGAGAACCCTTGAGGGCGTTATGCTAAGCGAAATAAGCCCGTCACCAAAGGAGAAATACTGTGTGATTCCACTCACATGAGGTACTCAGAGTGGTCAGATTCATAGAGACAGAAAGTAGAAGGGTGGTTACCATAGGCTGGGAGAAGGAGAGAATGGGGTTAGTGTTTAATAGGTACAGAGTTTCAATTTGGGAAGATGAAAAAGTTCTGGAGATTTGTTGTACAACAATGTGAATGTTCTTTTTTTTTTTTTTTTTTTTTTGAGATGGAGTCTCGCTCTGTCGCCCTGGCTGAAGTGCAGTGGCCAGATCTCAGCTCACTGCAAGCTCCGCCTCCCGGGTTTACGCCATTCTCCTGCCTCAGCCTCCCAAGTAGCTGGGACTACAGGCGCCCGCCACCTCGCCCGGCTAGTTTTTTGTATTTTTTTAGTAGAGACGGGGTTTCACCGTGTTAGCCAGGATGGTCTCGCTCTCCTGACCTCGTGATCCGCCCGTCTCGGCCTCCCAAAGTGCTGGGATTACAGGCTTGAGCCACTGCGCCCAGCCGTGAATGTTCTAAACACTACTGAATTGTACACCTAAAAGTGGTTACAGACAACCAGGTGTGGTAGCGGACGCCTGCAATCCCAGCACTTTGGGAGGCTGAAATGGGAGGATCACTGGAGTCCAGGAGTTCAAGACCAGCCTGGGCAACATAGCGAAATCCTGTCTCAACAAACAATGCAAAAATTAGCTAGGTGTGGTGGTATGTGCCTGTGGTCCCATTTACTTGTGAGACTGAGATGGGAGGATCACTTGAGCCCAGGGAGGTTGAGGCTGTAGTCAGCCATGATCACACCACTGCACTCCAGCTGAGACGACAGAGTGAGACCCTGTCTCAAGAAAAGAGGGGGGCAGTGATTAGAGTGTAAATTTTATGTTATGCCTACTTTACCACAATTTTAAAAAATTGTTTGAAAGAAGCCACACACAAAAGTCTTATTTAGTGAAATTGTGTGTTGTATGATTTCATTTATATGAAATGTCCCAAATGGGCAAATTACAGGAAGTCAGTAAATACTTGCCAGGAAATGGGAGAGGAAATGGGGAGTAGGGCCAGTGATTCTCGGGTGATGAAAATGTTCTGGAATTAAATAGTGGTGACGGTTGTACAACCTTGTGAATACTATACTAAAACCCACTAAATTCTGCACTTATTTAAAAGGGTGAATTTATGGTATATAAATTAATTATATCAATAAAAATTAACAAAAAGGTATGGTATGAGGAATTGGGAAAACATTATATGTATATATATGCCTTAAGTCTTTAATCAGTTCCCTTTGTCCTTTCTGCAACAAAGTTATACCCAACCGATACTATTTTATCATAAGGTGTGCAGTCCAGAACTATCTGTATATCTTTATCTCTCTCCGTATATGTATATCTCTGTATCTATATCTCTCCAGAAAAATCTGCAAAATAGCTTGGTGAATTTTCTTTTTGATTTTAACACTTAACATTTTTTTGGCCAGTCGTGGTGACTCACACCTGCAATCCCAGCACTTTGGGAGGCCAAGGTGGGTGGATCACTTTAACCCAGGAATTCAAGACCAGCCTGGGCAACATATCAAGACCCCTTCTTTACAAAAAATACAAAAATGAGCCAGGCGCACGTGCCTGTAGTTCAGCTACTTGAGAAGCTGAGGCAGGAGGATCATTTAGGCCCAGGAGGCAGAGGTTGCAGCGAGCCGAGATGGTACCACTGCACTCCAACCTGGGTGACAGAGCCAAACTTTGTTTCAGAAAAAATCTAGCCTCCCAGTGGCTTATTCCTGTAATCCCAACACTTTGGGAGGCCTTTAAGGCAGGAGAATGCCTTGAGCTGAGGAGTTTGAGGCTGCAGTGAGCTGTGATTCTGCCATTGTACTCCAGCTTGGGAGACAGAAACAGACCTTGTCACAAAAATAGATTAATTAATTTAATTAAGTAAATTTCTTTTCTTTCCTTTCTTCCTTTTTTTTTTTTTTTTTTTTTTGACAGGGTCTCACTCTTTCACCCTGTCACCCAGGTTGGGGTGCAACAGCTCAATCTCAGCTCACTGCAACCTCCACCTCCCAAGTTCAAGCGATACTCCCAACTCAGCCTACCAAGTAGCTAGGACTACAGGTGCACACCACCATGCCTGGCTAATGTTTTTTGTTTGTGTATTTTTTGTAGAGATGGGAGTTTTGTCATGTTGCCCATATATTTGTAGAGATGGGGGTTTTGTCATGTTGCCCAAACTCCTGGGCTCCACCCACCGATCCACCCACCTCAGCCTCCCAAAGTGCTGGGATTACAGGTGTGAGCCATTGTGCCTGGCCAATTTTTTCCTTTTACTGTGTGCGTCTGTGGTTCCACAACTTCCTTTTTTCCCCTGTTCTCTATGGACCTTCTACTTCATTTGGACTCTGCTTAGATTGGCCTAGTTTTCTCTTTAATCAAATCTTCAGGAAGCAATTTATTACATTAAAAATGATCTAACAAGCTTTATTTTTATCATTGTTAAAAATCCTGTTTTGAATAACACAACCACAAAGTAAAGAATGTTATCATTGATTTAATCAGTAAAAAACAATACTTAACAATAAAATTTTTCAAACACGGCTCCAGGTCATCCAGACGACTTAGCTTGGGCTCAAGTTATCTTCCTTTGATGCCCTTCTCTTCTTCCAACGAATCTGTTTTGGAAGAAAACACAATTAAGATTATCCATCACAACAACCACTATCTCCAAATCTGTATTCATTCCTTTTATTCATTATAAGTCTCATCTACCTGATGGGATAACTTTTTTGAAGACAGGAATTGTATGCTGTTCAACAGAGCTTTGATTCGTCCACAGTTCAGTCATCCTTGCTATCTTGCGGGGGACTGGTTCTAGGATACCGCCCCCACACCATACCAGAATCTGTGGATGCTCAATCCCTTACATATAATGGTGCAGTATTTGCATATAACCAACACACATCCCCCATATACTTTATTTACTTACTTAGAGACAGGATCACCCTCTGTCGCTCAGGCTGGAGTGCAGTGTCACAATCACAGCTCACTGCAGCCTCAACCTCCTGGGCTCCAGTGATCTGCCCACCTCAGCCTCTTGAGTAGCTGGGACTACAGGTGCATACCACCACACCTGGATTTTTTTTTTTTTTTTTTTTTTTTTTTTTTTTTAGTAAAGACAAGGTTTCACTATGCACCAAGGTTGACCTCCCAAAGTGTTGGGATTACAAGTGTGAACAACCGTGCCTGGTCCCAGGTACTTTAAGTCATCACTAATAAAATGTATCAATATTGTACAATGGTGACAGTTGTTATACTTTTTATTTGTATTTTTGTTTCTTTTTTCAAGTATTCAGCCTCATCCAGTTGAATCTGAAGATGTGGACCTGCTGATGAAGAGGGCTAACTGTATCTAACTTAGGATCTTGCATGCAGCTAGCACTTAATACATTTTATTGACCGTTTTAGCTAACATTCAACAGACGATTCCTAACAAAAAACTCTTAAAAGTAGGACAAAAAGGAAATCTGAGTCCTTCCTCTAAAGTGGCTGGAAAACCAGCCTGGGCAACATAGCGAGACCTTGTCTGTACAAAAAAAATTTTTTTAATTAGCTGCCTGCCTGTAGTCCCAGCCACTCAGGAAGCTGAGGCAAGAGGATCCCTTCAGCCCAGGAGTTTGAGGTTACAGTGAGCTAGATTACACCATTGCTGTCCAGCCTGGGTGACAACAAGGCCCTGAAAAAGAAGAAAAAAAAGGAAAGGAAAAAGGAAAGGAAGGAAAGGATGTAAGTATTGAAAAGGAAGAGACAAAACTATCATTATTTGCATATGAAATGATAAATGTTAGACAGTCAAAGAAGCCCAAGAGAATCAACTAAGATTTTAGTGGAAGCAATATGAGAATTCAGTATGGTGGCTAGAAGCAAAATCAAGAGAGCAGCACACAAATCTCAAATACTTTTCATATGTACCACCATTAACTAATTAGAAAATGGAAGAAAGATCCCATTTACAATGGCAATGCAAATGTATGAAGTATTTAGGAACAAAAATACAAAGATCTTTTATCTGACAAAAGATGTGTAAGATCTATATGATGGAAATCCTAAAATTCTTCTGAAAGACATTAACAAGAAATGAATACATGACATGAAATACCACGTTCCTAGAATGTTGTACAGATGTCAGTTCTCAAATTAATCTACAAATTTAATGTAATCCTATTAAAATCCCAATATAGTTTTTGGTGGTGGCTGCTTTTGAGACAGGGCCTCGCTCTGTTGCCCAGGCTAGAGTGCAGTGGTATGACCACAGATCACTGCATTCTAGACCTCCCTGGCTCAAGCAATCCTCCCACTTCAGCCTCTAAAGACTCTCATATGGTGTCCAAGAAATGGGGACAAATCTCACGAAGGGACTAGGCTCAGGAGGGCTGGATATTCAGGGAAGGTTTCAAGCAGAAAGATGAACTTGACTTGACTTTGGAGAGATTCATGGGACTCCCACAGGCAGAGTGAAGGGCATTTTAGATGGACAGATGCACAGACCAGAGCAGAAATGCGGATGGTGTGACTGGGGTATGGTAAGGGGCTGCTCTGGCTGGAATGGAGGGCTGCCACAATAATGGAAATGGTAAATGAGGCAAGTAAGGTTGGACCGGTAGCATAGCGTCAAGGGTGCCAGCTTATTAAATCACTTCCAATATGCTAGCAGTGGCCTCTTGGGAAAAGTAATACATTATGTAATTGAACAAAAGGCAAACAGAGGGAAGCTCCAGGAATGGGCACTGTGAACAGGACTCGCCCCAGAGTAGCCAGATGTAGGCTTTAGATATGTTGATGCAGGTTGAGCATCTCTAATCCAAGGGGGATTGTCCCATATGGTGTCCAAGAAACGGTGACACATCTCACAGAGGGCCTAGGCTCAGGAGGGCTGGAGTATGAGATGCTCCCCTCCCCTGTGAACTTAAAAATGTGGCCAACAATTTTTTTTTTTAAATGGCTACTCTGTAGTGCTTTAACTGGAGCTATTTAGACAACACCTTACACACTGGAGAAGGACGATACTGTGTGAACCTAATAAGTCTACAAGACAATACTTCTCTCTATTGGCTGTCTCCTTCCTTTCCAGGGTGATGACAACTCCGTGAGGTGGAGATTATACGTCTCTCATCCTTTCAGCAACAAGGAAATAAATTAGTGGCAGAGTAAGGGTGACTTGGTGAGTACATCCAATTGTTGACATCGTTTTGGGTGGGACAAATTTTGCTATTATATCAACTTAACTTCTTAAAATAATCTAGCGGGATTCACTTGGTTTCAATTCATAGAAATCTCCTGGAAGTGAGGTTTCTTTAAAATCCTGGAATATACACTACAGTAAAAGAACAAAGCGTACCTCAGCCTTAAACGACTGAAGAAGAATGTCAAGTAGCAGCAGGTGGGAAAGTGGCTTTGGTTTTCAGTTTGTGGGCTCTGAATCCACGCAAAGACAGCACTGCATTCTGAAAACCTGAATTAATTATTGTCCTTACCTCAATGAGGCAGCAAATTATAATTAAAGTCGTTAGAATTTCGGTCACAAATAATGCCAAGATGAGTTTGTTGTTATAGCCATATCCTGGAACTTCTTTCGTGAGCTTAACCAAAAAAAAAAAAAAAAAAAAGGAAAGAATAATTAAAAAAAAACAAAGAGAATGAAAGCTAACTTTTCAAAACCCCAGTGTTCCAGGTGAGTAGCTTACTGGTTCTTTTTTATTTTTGTTGAGATGGGATCTCACTGTCACCCAGGCTGGAGTACAGTGGTGCGAACACAGTTCACTACAGACTCGACTTCCCTGGGTTCAGGTGATCCTCCAACCTTAGCCTCCCCAGTAGCTGGGATTACAGGCATGTGTCACCATACCCAGCTAATTTCTGTATTTTTTGTGGCGACAGGGTTTCAGTATGTTGGCCAAGCTGTTCTCAAACTCCTGACCTCAAGTGATCCACCCACCTTGGCCTACCAAAGTGCTGGGATTACAGGCGCGAGCTACCACCCCTGGTCTACAGTTCATCTTGTGCACTAATCTATTTCACCCTCTACATGAGCAAAGTGGGAGATCACCGTCATGGCCGAAGTTACATGACCAGGACGAGCTATGGCCTGGGAGTCCCAGGTTCTCCTGTGTGGGCACTTTCCTGGAATACACTAAATGATGGGAAATCTGGGTCTCATGTTTCTGTGTGGTCCTCACCTCACTCAACTTCTGCTCTTTCTGTTCACTCTGGGCTTCCATGCTCTCATTAATATAGTTCTCAGTTTTCCACTGTTCCGTATCCCATTCTGCCTTGGACGCCTTTACTTCCTGCTGCTCACGGAGAAGCTTCATCAGGAGGCCTGTCCTGGAGATGAGCTTGGCACAGGTCAGTTGCACACGGGTGTCAGAGCAGTCCATCTTTAAGGTCCGGATTACATGAGAAATGAGCTTTCTCACATTGTTGTTGGGGATGAGGGACCGTAGCTGCTCGGTTAGCTGATTTTCAAACTGATCACCTGCAGACGAGAGCAACAGGTAATTGAAGCTTTTGGGCTCGGGGGACAGGTCAGTGCCCACATTGTTGTATTCCCATTGTGTCTGATTAGTTCGTTTAACAGCTGGCCCTAAGTTGAACGCAGTCCCAGCGGAATCTGCCTCAGGAGGAGGATTGTAGGTTGTGTTTTCAGAGATGGTGCCTTCCGGCATAGTAGTGTTTTCCATAAAAATGTTTTCTTCAGAGGCATTTCTTGCAGTTGTGTTCTTTACATTAGTGTCCTCTATAACACGTTCTGAAGGATCAAATAGTTTAGGAAAAGGATTTTCCTGAGGACTCCAGTCTCCTAAAGATGAAAAAGTCCCTTGTGAAAGGGAATTTATGAGGCTCTTCGCTGCAGAGAACAGCGGCCTCTTTGCAAGCATCAGTCTATCGAGATAACTTTCCTTTCTCAACTTTCTAATCTTTTTGACCTTGGGTGTTGTGTGGGCCACGCGGGAGCGAGTTTTATGATAGCGGTAGTTTTTTCTGGAATGTATGATTGGTTTAGCAGCCTTCATACTTTTAACTCTAGCCTTTGCATTTTCTAAAATGAAAATGGCATGGGTTAAGTCTTTTGATCTGTCTCTGACCTCAGGTAGGGCTTTTGCAGGGGTGGAGGCAGAAGGCTCGCCCATGGAGAAGGGTTTCAGCACAGAGGAGACTGCTGCGTTAAGCTCTTGGGTGAACGAAGGCTTGGTGTAGACGGTGTTTCCCACTAACTTCTCACGCCCCTGCTCTGTGTGAGGCTGTTCCAGCTCCCTTGAGACCGGGCTCCCGAGCCTTTTTTCTTGGGCAGCGCTCTCCACAAATGCCTGCGCACCCTCTTCCCTCCTGGTGCTCTGCTTTCCCACCTCTTTGAAGTGCCTTTTCTGGATGCTCCTTGGGCCCGTGAGGACTCTGTTCACTCTCTGCAGGTTGTTGCCTACACTTTGAATCTTTGCCAGGCTGTTTTCCTGTGGTTGGACAGTTTCTAATTTCTTTTCAAATAATTGGCGTTTAAATTTGTTACCTAGAAGGCTGGACTGCATAAGCATGGCAGTTTTTTTGTCCCTTTTAACTTCATTGATTTTTTCTTGTTTTTCCGCATTTAGTGTCTTTTCTAGCAAATATAGCTTTCTCAATTTATTTTCATAAGTTGAGTTGTTGGATGCAGGTTGAAGAGAAGGGCTGTTTGTATTGTTTTTCAAAATACTCAGGGGCCTATCGCGATCTTGCACATTTGCAAAAAGCAGTTTAGTGAACGGTAACAATATTGATTCCGCATCTAGATTTCCTGCTGAGAAATACGGCAAGATGTAACTTAGTGCACTGATAACCTCACTCTCGTCATTGGTGTCTAGCTGCTCACTCCCAAAGCCTGACAAGTTGATGTCACTGCTGTCTGAGGGCGCTTCGGCTCAATAGTCAGCTCAGTGCTCGTGTGCTTCTTCCGGGCTTGTAACACCTTCATGAACGCTCCTTCTGGATTCCCTACAGATGCTTCTTCAGCTGTGAAAAAAGAAGAGACTGTTTTGATCATGAAAGATGATGGGACGGCATGCATCAGTCCACAGCTGTACGCCCCAGTCACACAGAGTAGGAGTCAGCAAACATTCGAGTGCCATTCAGAGAGGAGAAACACACACCCAATCCTAAACCTACGAAACGGCAACAACAAAAGGAGAAAAGACATCTTTTGAAAACATGGCCACCTACTTGGAACATTCCATAGTGTGACATAGAGTAACTCTGCTTAGGATTATTCCGTTGATCCCCAGGGGCCAGTTGCCCAGTGCTCAGTCAAAGCCCAAGGTGGAAGACAAGTGCTTCCCTGATGAGCTGGCCTCTCTGCAGACTGCTCCGTACCCTGTGCTGTCCTGCCTCACATGCAGAGAGAGTACAAGGCTCCCTTTCTCCTTGTCCTCAGTGTACCCATGTTCTTGCTACCATCACAGCTGAATGCAATGGAAGGCGGTCCTCTGAAAGGAGCAGGGTGGAGATGCTAACGTGGAGAGCCCCTCCCATTGCTGATAGATCCTCATCTGGCACACGCTCCACCCACCCACCCCATTCTCTGCTCCCACATGCCGTAGCCCCATCACAGAAGACATGACGTGGAAAAAACACCGTGTCCACCTTAATTCTTTTCTTAAATTTGGACAGGGATCCAGGGTGTAGGTTAAGGGATTTTTAATTTGCCAGATTGTATGCTATGCTTATGTTGTTGAATGTAGAATGAATCTATGGTATGACAGCAGTTTCTGGATAAACATTACTTGAGGACCTAAAATGCAGAAGGGAAAAAGCAACTTTTATCAGTTGCCTACTTTGCTTTCATTTTATCTCTAATATTCTGGATGGGGAACCATCCAAAGCTTCTGACTGCATGAAGGTCAAGTGTGCCCGTGTGCAGCTGGCTTTCTTTTCCAGAATTAAAAGTATTTTAGGTGGTGCTGAGGGTCAGAGGAAGAAGTAAAGATTGTAAGAAAGGAGAAACATGGGCTTGGGGAGAACCCAGGATTGGGACAGAAGACCTGGCACAAGGTACAGCACTTAGCACCTCTGATCTTGTTTTTCCTCATCTGTAAAAGGAGATTACCAATGCTTTTCTGCCCACCTCTTGGGGAGAAGGGAAGAATATAATTGGTTAAAAAAAAAAAAAAGTTTTGAAAAATAAGCAACACTGTCTTTATATAAGTAGCCAAGCATTATTAATTATCCACCCCATATCACTCATAGATACCTGTATTCAAGCTATCTGGACATGAAAGCAGTCACATTTTAGAAATCATGAAGTTGGTGCTAATAAACCTAATCTACAGAAACACTCCTGAAAGCACTTGTGCCTTTGTTCTGTGAATGGAAAGGTTTGAATTCAGAGCAAGTTCAGCGTTGGATGGTCTAAGCTTGGAAAAGCCCTCCATTCCATTAGAAGAGCCAGGCAGCAATTTCTGGTTATGGAACCAGAAACTCTCAGGCTTCAAATAAAACAGCATCACTTGTACACTTATAAACCTGTAAAAACAAAAAAATCAAAACCAGATCTACATCTGTCCTGTAAGGCAGAGAGTACTTGAGACCCCATGGATATAAAACCAGTTTACAAACTACATGGCACTATATGAATAATTGTCACTGGAGGCAAAGCACCAAGCAGAGAGCACAGTACACAGTGTGTGGATGTTAATGTTATTCCCTAGTCTTCCCATTCCTTTGTCTTGGTCCTTTGTGCATATGGAACCGTTCTATTATTACATTTTCTAATAATAACTGAGAACCTGACTCTCAGCAAGGGAATAGTTCAGAAATTGAGGGAGTTTAACTCTGAATGAGTAAATAAAATAAAGCAATTATATCATTAACTTACAATTTTATCATCATTAAAAATAAAACGTTTAAAAACAAATACTTAAAATAATGTAACAATTGATCACCAGGCAATTTGGACTCACGACAATGTATGGTGTTTGTCAGACATGCACTGTTGCAATGCAGCTTGACTGTCTTGCAGACAACCTCAATGCTGTTTTTAAATTGGCAGAGGCAGCAGGCCATACGGCTAGGTAAGATCCTATAGATGAAAACACAAAACATTAGTGGTAAAGCGGTTGAGTAGGTAAAGGAGGCAGGCCAATGCTACCACAGGGGTGGGCAAAAAGGTGTTACTGAGGCCCGTGGACTGGACAGTTGGGTAGGAACTAGAAGGCCAATAGGAAGGAGGGCAAAGGTACCCAACCAAACAGTAAGTATGGCAGTGAGTACGGTATGCCTAGAATAAAGGTGGTTGGGATTAGAATTGGGTGACACTGATCAGTAGTTTAATTCAGAAGTATTTCTTCCCAACTCAAAAGTCTCACTTTGGGCTGAAAGTACACAGGAAGAAGGTAGACTTCTAAGAAGAGTCACAGGGTTTCACCATGTTGCTCAGGCTGGTGTAGAACTCCTGGACTCAAGCAATCCTCCCACCTTGGCCTTCTGAAGTGCTGGGATTACAAGTGTGAGCCACTGCAGCCAGCAAAATAATTACAATGGAGAGATCTGGAAGATCACCTTAATCAAGTGATCAAATTTAGTATTATAGGCGATCTGCTGTTACGAGGCAGGAAGGATACATTACCTATGCAGTATTTTTCCCAAAAATGAGGAAACTGACAAATCCAGATTGTGGGACATTTACAAGACAACTATCTTTGACTCTTAAAAAATCCAATGTCATGAAAGATCAAAGAAAGTAGAGGAATGTTTTAGATTAAAGGAAATGAAGACATGACATGCAGTGCCTGATTTTCAATTGGATTCTATACTATTCTTTTCATCTTTCTGGTATGTTTAAATTTTTTTCAAAATGTAAATTTGGGCAGAAGAGATAACCAAGACAATTGATTAATTTATTGCTATGGCTTATTGGGGGCAGTTTCAGAGAGATAAAGACAATCCCTGTAACTGGAGTAAAAGGTTAATCTCAGGGAGTATAGCATGGTCATTAAGAATACAGATTCCACAGCCAGACTGGGCTTAAATCCCTGCTCCGCTAATAATATGAATTTGGGCAAATTGCTTAATCTCTGTTCCTCGACCTAGTCATTATAATAGTACCTACCACTAATGAGTTTTGAGGATTAAATGAATCAATACCTGAAAAATGCCTGGCACACAGTGAGTGCTCAATAGCAGTTAACTACTATAATTATTATGTTGCAGAGGTTGTGGGGGGCCTTTTCTGAGTCCTCCAAGAGGGTGGCTTTATTAGGGCCACATTAAGACTGTGGAGACAGAAGAGTGTTTCATGGATACATGAAGCCTATGAGTTGGGGGTACAATGTATAGAAGTTTTAGATTAAAACTGCATTAAGTTGGCCTGATACATCTTTCAAACCTTATAGAGGAATAATCACAAGTGACTAGTATTATTCCTTTGGGTCCAGTGGAAGCCTCTGATCTTCATGTGGACTGGACCCAGAACCGTACCCCAGCATTTTATTATACAGCAACCTTAACTCTGACACAAAGATGTTTCTTTTGTTTGTTTTGAGGCCGGGTCTCGCTCTGTTACACAGGCTGAGTGCAGCGGTGCAATCTCGGCTCACTGCAGCCCCTGCCTCCTGTGCTCAAGTGATCCTCCCACCTCAGCCTCCTGAGTAGCTAGAACTACAGGTGTGTGCCACCATGCCTGGCTAATGTTTGCATATTTTGTAGAGATGGGGTTTCACCATGTACTCCAGCCTGATCTCGAACTCCTGAGCTCAAGCAACCCTCTCTCTTTGGCCTCCCAAAGTGCTGGGATTACAGGCACAAGTCCAAAGGTTTTGTTACTCTTTTTCTGCCCCCAACTTTTTATTTTAAAGGTTTTATTTTTTTTCCTTTAAGCCTTAGGGTGGCTGGAAAGCATTTTCAAATGGTATAATGAACACCTGTATAACTTTCATCTAGAATCAACAATTGTTATGCTTTGCCACATTTGCTTTCCGTGTGTGTGTCTAATACATTTTCTGGACAAGCCATTTGAGAGTCAGTTGCAGACATAATGACCCTTCACCATTAAATACTTCAGTGTGCAGCCCCTAAGAACCAAGGCATTCTCCTACATAACCAGAATACTATCATCACCCAATGGAACTTAATATTATCATTGTTTACTATGTAGTCCATATACACATTTTCACAATGTCCCAGTCATAACATGGCTTAAACAAATTCAGAATCCAGTCAAACATCAGACATTGCACTTAGTGTTTATGATTCTTTAGTCTCCTTCAATCTAGAACTGTTCCCAGGATTGTTTTAAAGTATACTGACAAACCTTTGAGACTGTAAATGACCTGAGGTGTATGTTATCCTTACTTGAGAATAATTTTTCAATATGCATTAAAGATCATTACACATGAGCCAAGACTCAAATGCACTGGCCTACTTACTTTGTATATCAATGTGTAAACTCCTGAAGACTTCCAATAATGAACTCCCATAAGGCAGTTAGTTCAATGTCTTTATGGCCTTGGTGACAAATGGTTACAGAGAATGAGAGCTTTTTTCTATCCACTAATGGTCAAGAAAAAAGCAGACAGATCCTCACTGTCTTAGAGAATAAGTGAGAAAGCTGGTCGATGAAGAGGACTTCATCCAGAGAGGAAGGGATCTAGCTGACAGGGAAGATGCTGCAGGAGGCTGAGGGAAGTGAGGCTAGAGCAGTAAAACAGATCTGACAATGTGGTGAAGATAAGAGAGTGACCTGACAAAAATGAATGGAGCAGAGGGTGAAATGAAGGGCCCTTTCCATGCTAATCTTCTATAATGCCCTCAAGGAGCCTTAGCATAAATGAGTTTCTATTTAGCTTGCCATATGGTGGGGTGGTGGCACCCATTTAAGTGGCAGGAAATTGTGTAACAAACTCACAATAGGGCCCTGCAGGACCTTTTGTTTTTTTTTTTTTTTTTTTTAGACATGGTATTGCTCTGTCACCCAGGCTGGAGTGCAGTGGTGCCATCTTGGCTCACTGCAACCTCCACCTCCTGGGTTCAAGTGATCCTCCTGACTCAGGTTCCCTAGTAGCTGGGACTACAGGCGTGTGCCACCACACCTGGCTGACATATATATATATATAACCTGCAGAGAAGGCCAGGCACAGTGCCTCATGCCTATAATCTCAGCACTCTGGGAGGGTGAGGCAGGAGGATCACTTGAGACTAGGAGTTTGAGACCAGCCTGGGCAACATAGTGAGACTTCGTTTCTACAAAAAAATTAAAAATAAAAATAAAATTGAAAAAAAAAGATACCTCACATAATATATGCAAATTAACTCAAAATGGATCATAGACCTAAACATATACAATTTCTGGGAGAAGTTGTATATGTTTGAGGAGTTGTATATGTTTGAGGAGTTGTATATGTAATGAGGAGAAAATCTTTTTGACATTGGATTAGACAACAGGTTCTTAAAGATTTCTTAGGTAAGAAACGAAATATCACAAGCCATTTAAGAAAAAATTGCTTATTTAAAGCTGATCAAAATTAAAAACTTCTGCTCTTCAGAAAACAGTTTTATTTTTTACTTTTTTTTTTTGAGACAGAGTCTCGCTCTGTCGCCTAGGCTGGAGTGCAGTGGTGCAATCTCGGCTCACTGCAACCTCCACCTCCCAGGTTCAAGCACTTCTCATGCCTCAGCCTCCAGAGTAGCTGGGATTACGGGCGTGGGCCACCACACCTGGCAAATTTGCGTATTTTTAGTAGAGATGGGGTTTCCACACAACTGGAACACTACTCAGCAATAAAAAGGAGTGAATAGCTGTCCCTCGTTGTCTGCAGGGGACTGGCTCCAGGACCCCCTGCAGATACCAAAGTCCACAGCTGAAGTCTTTTATATGAAATGACATAATGTTTGTGTATAGCCTCAGGTATACTTTAAATACCTAATACAGGGTAAATGGTATGTAAATAATTATACTGTATTTTAAATTTTCTACTGTTTTTATTGTTGTTTTATATATTTTATTTTTTCCAAATATTCTCCATCCATGGTTAATTGAATCCATGGATGAGGAACCTGCAGATATGGAGGGCCAGCTGTTGTAATAGGTGCAACAACATGGATGGTAGCATATCTCAAAAAATCTTATGCTGAGTGAGGCCAGGCGAGGTGGATCACATCTGTAATCCTAGCACTTTGGGAGGCCGAGGCGGGCGGATCACTTGAGGTCAGGAGTTCAAAACCAGCCCGGCCAACGTTGTGAAATCTAGTCTCTACTAAAAATACAAAAATTAGCCAGGAGTGGTGGCATGCGCCTGTAATCCCAGCTACTCGGGAGGCTGAGGCAGGAATCGCTTGAACCTGGGAGGCGGAGGTTGCAGTGAGTCTAGGTCATGCCGCTGCACTGCAGTCTGGGTGACAAAGTGAGACTCTGTGTCTCAAAAAAAAGCTATGTGAAAGAAGCCAAACACATGCTCTATGAGTTCATTTATAAGACATTCTGGAAAAGGCAAAAGTAAAAAGTATAGGAACAGAAATCAGATTAGTAGCTAACAGGGGCTGATGGTGGCAGGAGGGGATTGACTACAAAGGGACATGAGGGGCCTTTTTGAGGCATCAGAAATGCTTTATATTGGGAATGTGGTGGTGGTTATGTAACTATACATTTGTCAGACTCATCAAACTGTACACTTGAAAAGGGTGAATGTTAGTATATGAAAATTACACCTCAATAAACCTGACTTAAGAAAATAATAAAACAAACCTAAAGAACCAACTAAGTGAAAATAAATCTAAGAAAAAAATAACTTACAGTTTTTCCAGTTCAACAGTCATCGTGAGAATGTTCTTAAGTGTTGTAAGTGGGACTTGCGTTGTTCCCATGTCTCTGAAGAAGAAAGACAAAACACTCATGATATGAACCCCAGTAAAAAATTCTGTACTTAAAAAGACATTTCAAGGACATGTGATTACTTCAATTTTGGCTTCTCTATAAAACAAGCCAGCTCAAGAGTTGCTGTAGAATTCCAGGGAGCTCTTATTAAAGAAATTTAAGTTGATTTGCATCATCAAATTAATGATATTCAAGAGCAGAGCTTACACCATTTTTATGATTATCTTCTCATTTTCATATTGCATTCACCATCGTATTTACTCTTTTCTTCATTTTTAAAATAATGAACACCTTTTCCCCTTTGTTTTCTTGGTTAAATAATATTTCTCCATGTGTCTACATGTTCCAAATCTATATGGGTTCTTCAACACTGTTCTCTTCCCTTGCTGTCTTGACAATTATACATTCTCTTTAATTTTTTTCTTTGCCAATAACTTTTTTTCAATAACCCAGTTAAAATTTAAATTATGACATTTTAGCCTAAATGCAAAATACTTAAGCTTTGATAAAAATTTAAAAAGCATAAATCATCTCATGACTTATGAGAGTACTATAGTACTTACAGATATTTTAATGCTGGCAATTTAAAGAGATACGGATCTTCAACAGTGGTGAGAGGATTGCGATAGAGAATTCTGAAAAATGGAATGGAATTCAAATAACCTGCATTTTCAGTGTGTGAAACTGCATGAAAAGTTTATATTCATTTTTTGCTATGGAACTTGTAGGTTAAAAAAGAAAAAGGTGTTTTCTGTTTTTATCTAATCAATCACCATTAGACTCCATAAAGCACTATTCCTCTGGGAACTACCCAGGTCTCTAGAAGATAAAGTAGAGGAGAGAACAAGGGGAAGAACTACAAGGTAAAAAAAGTGGATAGCAAAGAAAAAATATGCCACAGAACTTTTCAGGTCAAAAACCCTACAAGTGACTATGTTGGTAGGAAGTCCTGACTGTGTAGCAAACACTATTTCTAGCGTCCTCCATAATTCAAGTTGCTCATCACAATTCAAGTTGTTCATTTTTTATTTATTTATTTATTTATTTATTTTTTGTTTGAGATGGAGTCTTGCTCTTGTTGCCCAGGCTGGAGTGCAATGACTCAATCTCGGCTCACTGCAACCTCCACCTCCCAGGTTCAAGCGATTCTCCTGTCCTGCCTCAGCCTTCCAAGTAGCTGGGATTACAGGCGCCCGCCACCATGCCCAGCTAATTTTTGTATTTTTAATAGAGACGGGGTTTCACCATGTTGGCCAGGCTGGTTTTGAACTCCTGACCTCAGGTGATCTACTTGCCTCAGCCTCCCAAACTGTTAGGATTACAGGCGTGAGCCACTGCAGCTGGCTGCTTGTCTTTTATCTTTATGAAGTTTTTAAAATTTATGGTTTAATTTGCACAGTTAAAAAAAATAGGACCAATTCTTTTGCTTTATAGCCAAAGAAAAAGGAATAAATCTAACAGGAGGAACTGGTCAAAACCATACTCCCACTTTCTTCTTGTATGACATCACAGCCTTTCTTACATTGCATGTAATCACCTGCCACTTGTCAGTCTCCCGGACTATGAGCTCCTTGAGGGCACAGACCACAATTTTTTTTTTTTTTTTGAGATGAAGTCTCACTCTGTCACCCAGGCTGGAGTGCAGTGGCGCAATCTCGGCTTACTGCAATCTCTACCTCCCAGGTTCAAGCAATTCTCCTGCCTCAGCCTCCCGAGTAGCTGGGATTACAGGTGCCCACCACCATGCCCTGTCATCCCTGTGCCTGGCATGATGTCTGAAATGTATTAGGCATTTAACAAATGTTTATTGAATAAACAAATGACATTCTGTTTATATGTCAATAAAATGAATACATTGATTTTGATGCAAATTTTTATTCCAAAATGCTGGAATCGATTTTCTTTTTAATTCTTTAAAGTGAACAAGAAAAAGAAAAGAAACAGGAAGAAATAGAAAATCTGCCTTTAGGTTAACCAAAGAATCATCATTGTACTTCTGCAGAAATTATTCAAATAATAATTATTACGGTGAGTATCTACTGGGTTGCCAGGTATTTGTGATTAGCATTTCACATTTAATCCTCACGATAACCTTATGTGGTAGATATTATTGCCCTATTTTTAAATGAGGAAACTGAGGCACAGAGAGGTTATATAACTTGTCCTAGGTCACCAAGCTATTAAGCAGCAAAGCTGTGATTTGAACTCGTGTGTTCAATCTGTATGAAGAAAAAGGGTTTACTTTAACCTTACTTTTTAAAAAATTTTTATTTTCGTTCTTCATTCTTTCTCTTTCTTTCTCTTTTTCCTTCCTTCCTTCCCTCCCCCTTCCTTCTTTCTCTCTATTTTATTTCTTTCCTTTCTCCTCTCCCCTCCCCACCAAAACAGGGTCTCGCTCCATTGACCAGGCTGGAGTGCAGTGGCGTGATCTTGGCTCACTGCAACCTCCACTTCCCCAGCTCAAGTAATCCTCCTTCCTCAGTCTCCCAAATAGCTGGGACGGTAGGCACGCACCACCACGCCTGGCTAATTTTTGTGTTTTTAGTAGAGATGGGAGTTTCACCATGTTGGCCAGGCTGGTCTTGAACTCCTGATCTCAAGTGATCCGCCTGCTTTGACCTCCCAAAGTGCTGGTGAGAGCCACTGGGCCCAGCCTTAATCTTGAGAAGACTAAATACAGAAATGCCTTTCAACCTTCTTCTCCTCTGGGAGGGCCTCTGTGAGAATTACAGTTTCTCATTAGCACTTCACAGCCACGCTTGCCTGTAGTTCCAACTGTTCAGGAGGCTGAGGCAGGAGAATTGCTTGAACCCGGGAGGCGGAGGTTGCAGTGAGCGGAGATCAAGCCACTGCACTCCAGCCTGGGTGATAGAGCAAAAAAAGATTTTATGTCTTTCCCCTAATCATTTCCCATGAGTAAATAGTTAATTAGTCTATGGGCAATTAGACTTTTTTTTTAAGGGACACATTCTCACTCACTGTGTTGGCCAGGCTGGAGAGCAGTGGCTATTCACAGGCACGATCCCACTAGTGATCAGCATGGGAGTTCTGACCTGCTCCATTCCCGAATGGGGCTGGTACACCCCTTTTTAGGCAACCCGGTGGTCTGTTCCTGGGAGGTCACCATACTGATGCTGAACTTAGTGAGGACACTCAATCGGCATAGCACGCTACAGCCCAGAATTCCTGGACTCAAAGGATCCTTCTTCCTTTGCCTCCTGAGTATCTGGGAATACAGGCATGTGCCTGGTGAGCCTTTAGAGATTTAAAACCATGTTGTAAATGACATCAGTGAAAATGGTGGAATAAAGACATCCAGAAATTCATCCCATCATAAAAGCAACAGCAACCAAAAAAATGGCACACACACACACACAAAAAATTGACCAGAATAAACTTTTTCAGAACTCTAGAAATTTAACCAAAGTCTGGGCACGGTGGCTCACACCTGTAATCCCAGCACTTTGGGAGGCTGAGGCAGGCAGATCATGAGGTCAGGAGATCGAGACCATCCTGGCTAACATGGCGAAAACCCATCTCTACTAAAAATACAAAAATTAGCTGAGTGTGGTGGCAGGCGCCAGCTACTTGGGAAGCTGAGGCAAGAGAATCACTTGAACCCGGAAGGCAGAGGTTGCAGTAAGCTGAGATCACGCCACTGCACTCCAGCTTGGGCGACAGAGCGAGGCTCCATCTCAAATAAATAAATAAATAAATACATAAATAAATAAATACTAACGTGAATCTGCACCAATAAATAAGCACTGGCCAGGCGCAGTGGTTTAGGCCTGTAATCCCAGCACTTTGGGAGGCTGAGGCTGGAGGCTCACTTGAGGTCAAGAGTTTGAGACCAGCCTGGCAAACATGGTGAAACCCTGTCTCTACTAAAAATACAAAAATTAGCTGGGTGTGGTGTTGCGTGCCTGCAGTCCCAGCTACTCAGGAGGCTGAGGCACTAGAATTGCTTGAACCTGGGAGGCAGACGTTGCAGCGGGTCAAGTTTGTGCCACTGCACTTCCAGCCTGGGCAACAGAGCGAGACTCTGTCCCAAAAGAAAGAAAAAATAAGAAAAAAAGATACTTGCATAATTATAAATAATTGCAATAATTAAAAATCTAGTTGCATGCAATAGTTATAAACTTGCAATAATTATAAATCTAGTTGATGAACATAAAGTGTATAAAGATGTAATGTGTGACAATAACAGGATAAAGGAGGGGGTGAGAGTGGAACTTTAGAGAAGCAAAGTTTTTATATACTATTGAAACAAAGTTGGTATTAATCTGAACTACAACCTTATATAATTAAGATGAGGCTGAGACCACAAGTGTGCACCAACATACTCGACTAACTGTAAAAAAATTTCTAGAGATGGGGTCTCACTATCTTCCCCAGGCTGGTCTCCAACTCCTGGCCTCAAGCAATCCTCCTTCCTTGGTCTCCCAAAGTACTGGGATTATAGGTACGCACCATTGCATCTGGCCACAAACATTTTGTTTTTTTATTTTTCATTTTCCAAGACAGGGTTTCACTCTCTTTCCCAGGCTGGAGTGCAGTGGCAAAATCATGGCACACTGCAGCCCCGACCTCCCAGGCTCAAGAGATCCTCCTGCCTTAGCCACCTGAGTAGCTGTGACTACAGGCATGTGCCACCATGCACAGCTAATTTTTAAATTTTTTTGTAGAGATGAGGTCTCAATATGTTGCCCCACCTGGCCTTGAACTCCCGGGCTCAAGTAATCCTCCCACTGCAGCCTCCCAAAGTGCTAGGATTACAGGCATGAGCCACTGCACTCAGCACACAAATATTAAAAAAATCTCAAGTCAAGCAGCTAAACTTCCACTGGAAGAAACTAGGGAAAAAAGCTCTCAGCAACCTGAACCCAAAGAAAGGAAATAATAAATATTAGAGAAGAAATAAGTGAAATAGAGAATAGAAAAACAGTAGATAAAATCGACATACTTAAAGGTTGGTTTTTTGAAAATATCAACAAAACTGACAAACCTTTAGCTAGACTGACCAAGAAAAAAATACAGAAGACCAAATTATTAAAATAAGGAATGAAAGAGGGGACATTACTATTGATCTTACAGACATAAAAAGGACTATATGAATAAAAAGGATTATATATATATATATATATATAAAACAGTATGTGCTAATAATTAGATAACCTGGATGAAATAGACACATTACCAGAAAAATATAAACTACTGAAACTGACTCGGCAAAAACAGAAAATCTGAATAGATAGACCTATGTCAAGTAAAGAGATTGAGATAATAATCAAAAAACCTTCCACAAAGAAAAGCTAAAGACTAGACAGCTTCACTGGTGACTCTACAAAATACTTAAAGAAGAATTAACACGGATCCTTCATAAAGTCTTTCAAAATACAGATGAGGAGAGAACATTTCCTAACTTACTCTATGAGGGTGATATTATCCTGATATCCAAACTAAAGACATCACACACAAAAAATTACAGACCAGTATCTCTTATGAATGTAGATGGGAAAATGCTTGACAAAATCTGGCAAACCAAATTTCAACAGAGTATTCTGTAAACATGGATCAGATAATAATAGCAGGATTCTTCAAACTGATTTATGGTTTCATTACTTTTTTTTTTTTT